ATAAAGTAATATTCTTCATTTCATCCAAACATAAAATGCGGAAAAAAGTTTCTTTTCCTCATGATGAAAATTGTTTTGTTTTTTAACTTAAAGAATTTCAACTTTGAATCTCTCAGCCACAAAAAATGAAGTTTTCTTTTTATTCCATCTGCTTGTAATTTCCTTTTCATGCCTATACTTGTAGTGCTTTGGCTGTTTATTTTTATAGTACACCCTTGATATACATTAAGAAAGATTTTTTGGTTCAATATTTGTCCATTATATTTCTAGTACGATTATTGATCCGTACTCTGCTATTATTCCTTAGTCATTTAACATTAATGTTGTGTGTAGTTATTATTATTTTAATGTTATGGAGTTTTTAAATTGATTTTTTTGGATGTGGGGCAAGAGATTTGTTGAAATTTTACAAACTTAATGGGTTTTGGGTTATTTTATTGAAATGTTTTGTAGTTTTAATGAGTTTTCACCTTTGTTGCTTATTTTAATGGTGATTGAAGCATGTTTAGTGAAGGATAATTGCCTAAATGTTTTAATTATGACCAAATTTTGATATCCTGATTTTTACTTGAATCCAGAGTTGCGAAACAGGTCACCTGTGACAGGTGAGAACCTTTCAATTCCTTGATAATTTGTATGGTTTTGTTAGAAAAACCTTATAAATTATCAAGGAATTGTAGGGTTATAAATTTAAAATAATGTAAAACATATTTGGAATTGAAAATGGTCTTAAAATTTATTAAAAAGGACCTTAATAAAGATAATTAAGAAGAAGAAGGAATTGTAGGGTTCTCACCTGTCACAGGTGCCTGTTTCGCAGCTCTGCTTGAATCAAAATTGCTGGCACCACAAAATTTGGTATGAAACTCAAAAGAGTTGAAAACTACTTAATAGAAATTTAGAAGTATAAAAGTATTGCACACTAGTTATATCATCCTTAACGATTGCTTCCGTTCAGTCTCCTATGTTGTGCATATAAATTTCGTCATATATCACATAACAATGCAATGACGAAACACAATTCGCTAGCTTTTTAAGCTTTTTTATATAAAACGACGAATTTAACAATAAATATCATACAACATAATAATTTTTACATGGATCATTACATTTTTTATGGATACTACACGTCATCGTAAAATATGATTTTCATGTTTGATTTGAAATTTATTTATTTCTCCCTTTGTTAAGGTCTTCTAATGCTATCAGGACTGATTATGTTTATATCGATCTTCAAGTCTGAAGTCTTCCATAAATTACGTCCATCAAATGTGGATCCTGTTTTCAATTTCCATTATGGTCATAGCTTTATTCTCTACGTTGTCGGATTTATTGCAGTTGAGTTGGCTGGAATATTAAATGTTTGCCTCTTCAACAATCTACAAAAGGCTGAGGAACTAAATCAGGTAAATTTTTTTTTCGTTCTCAATAGACTTGACAAATATCGGACTTAATTTAATTCATTTTAAATTCAACGATGAGAGCAAAAATTGTTAAAATCCACGTAAATTTAATTTTTTACGCAACATTCTTTTTTGCATATCATTCTGATTTTCTATTTTCATTTCCGTTTTATTTTTACTTCCATTTTTGACAAAAAAAAAATAAAATATCAGAATCGTTTGCTGAATAATTATATAAAGCCAGGACACACGACCTCTACATCAACAGCTAGCAATCATCACAGTCATATTGCCTATCCAAATATGGAAAATGGGTAAGAAAAAGTCTTTATTTACACTCAAATTTTAGCAATTTCTCATTCTTATCACGTCGCAATTCAGACCCTTCCTCGCTCATATCGATCTTTAATTTGGTCACGACTCACTATTGCCAAGCATATTGGAGTGTTTTAGTTTTTGTAGACGGCTTTTAATAGATATTTTATGTTTTATTGTCTTATGAGGATGACCTTAGCTTGAATTCGGGTAGAATTTCCCAGTTTTTTATTATTGTTTCAACCTTGAATTACAGGCATAACCTCTAAATCTTAGTGGTGCAAAATTGATTTGAATTTTTTATGATTGTCTTATGATTCTCTTACAAATAAGGATTTGTCATATTTTAATATTCTAAAGGTCAATTTGGAGTATTTTAACCTCTAAAATATATATTTAACCTCAAATTTTGTTTATGAATGAATTCCTGGAAGCTTCTTGTTATGAATATCAGTGCTGTTTACATCCTGTCATGACATGGTAAACAAGAATTATGTTAAATTTAACCAAACAGATTAAAGTCAATACTGATCAGACAAACAAAAGTTCTTCTTATATGTTAGTCTGAATTCTGACAGTTTCCGTAAGATTTCGCTGCTAGGGTTAAATAAAAGTATGTTGAACTAAATTGGAATTGACTTGTGCCTTTTATATCTTTTTTTTTTCAGATACATTCCACGAAACAATCTTCATTGCTCTATGCATACAGCATCATCTGCGATATCACCAAATGTAAAAGTCACAAACGACTACTTAAGCATGCCTTTAAGAACAGCAAAATCTCCACATCATCATCATGTAATGGATTCCACAAACCGTTTCAATGCATTTAATCATGTACCATTCACACGCAATGCTTCAACGTCAACTTTAGATCTAGATAATGAGCTCGATGATGGAGACTTGATGTCTGGAAAAAGCAATCGTAGAATATTGAAAGATAAATCAAACAATAATAAATTGGATTTTAATAATATTTGCGGCATGATGAGACCGAATAAAGCTAAAGATTGCAATGCAAACTCAAATTCTTATCATCGCATAAAGCCAGCCAAAAATATTTATTACATTAAGGATCAGAATGATGACGAGGAGCCGAATATTTTTATAGTCGATCCGAGATTCTATAAAAATCGTAAATGTGCTCTACAAAAGTCCCTTGAGGATATAAGAATGCAAAAATTAAATAACAATACATTCACGTCATCTAGTCAATACCGTCATCATAATGCATGCAATGGTTGGAATAATACTTTAATGGATCGGAGTGTCTGTGGGAGTAAGACATTACCACGTGACTTTTCCCGCCCGAAACAAGTACGACCGAGTTTAGGCAGCTTTTTGGAAAACTTTTATCAAGAGTCGAATGAAAATAGGTAAAATTAGGCACTGCACACATAAAAAACTTTAACTCTGATTAATGATATGAACAGCTGGGACTTGGTGGCATTATTTTCAATAACGATGCCATCCATGCTATTAAATGCTTATGACGTATCATTATTCAGCGTTTTAATAATGTTACATTGCCTCAAAAATTGAGTTTGACAATTTAGCATTTTTACAAAAATGCAATGTAATTTTTTTATGTTTTTTATACCCAAAAACATTGAAAAACATTTAAAAATTTGAAATTAATAACAAGTAAAATGATACTTTAGCTAAAGAAGTAAATTTTGCTTAAAGCTGTCAATACCAAGAATTTTTATATCTCGCATAAATTTCATCATTGCTAAATAAATCAAAATTTTAAACTCAGTTCCTTTGGGTTATGATTTTCTTGGAAGATATTCCCCAACTCTTTCTTTTCAATCCTTGACTTTCTTTAGAGCTCCTTAATAATTCATATTCTACTCAACTTCGGGAATGGTTCACGATAAAGAAGAAGTAAAAAAGCAGCAAGTGAAGCATTTAAAACGCTTTAAAGCAACGTTCACGGACCACTTACTGCTAATTTAAAGATTTGGTAGTTTACTCGATTTCCAAAATATTAAGTTTGAACTTAATTTCAAATAAATTAATATCGAAGTTTATAACCAAGAATCATTTAAAGAAACTCTTAAACTGCTTAAAAGGTACTCACCATCTGAAAATTCTTAAAAACCTCCAAGAATTGAAAGAAAATTCCAAGAAAGAGGCTTTAATTAAACTTAAGAAAAGTAATAAATTAAAACCTTTTTAAAAATCAATGACGCAAATATTTCATTCAATCCCACTCAATCAGTCAAGCAGATCACTCAATCTAATTTTTGGTCAATGGAAAACACGATCAGCATAGTAATAAGGGCAACAAAAATTATGCCACATTATGTACATGTTGTTATCGTCAAAAAATATCAATATTTATTATATTCTCGTCCTATTTATCATCCTTTATTATCCTTTTTTGTTACTTACAGATTAAATCAGTTAAACCACAGCCATAATCATCATTCACATCATAATTTACACAATCATTATCACTCGAGCGGACATTCCTTTCATCACCATAATTCGTGTGACGAGCTTTCATCATTAAAATCAAATAGGAGTTCATATTGTCGGAATGTTTTTGATCCACAACAACAACAGCAAGTTCATCAGCAAGAATATCAGTGGCCAAAAGTAATTCCCAAATCCCCTTCATCATTTTCAATGAACTCGTTTCGTATCAATCGTCATGTGGCGATTTGCGATGAAGACACAAATTACAATCCTATTGAAGGCTTTGATTTAGATAAAATTGAGAGTGAACGGAGGAAGTCACATACGAACTTGTTTAAGGAATGTCGACAAAATGATTTCAAAAAAGAATTTGGAACTGCCGTATAAAGTTAAAAAAGTGAAATAAATAAACATTTATTAAATTTAGATAAATGAGCATGTTTTATGTTTTTAATGTGATCATATGAAAGAGTTTAAACATTGTGTGATTTATTGAACAGACAAATACATACATGAAATGATAAGGATGTTGAATTTTCCTAAATAAATAAATTGTTGTTAATATATTTACTAGATGACTTAACAAATAATCTCAAGCAGACAGGACTTTAGTTTTACTGAGATTACTAGAACCGTTAAATTTTATAGAACTTTAAACTTTTTCCTTCATTTTAGATTTCTCATTAAAAGTTTTAAATTTCAGTTTTCAAATAGAATTTACAGAGAATCTAGAAGATAACTATCTAAACTGACTATAAAAAGTGGCAAGAAATCTTCAATCAAATTTAAATTCTTGTATTCTTAGCATTTTGCTATTTAAATTAACAAATAATTTATTTCAATTTGTTTGTTGTTTACGTTTTTTGCGAACCAAATTTCCAAGAATTGAATACAAACGGAAATCTATAATTGCTAGCAGAAAATAGATTGCAGTAAAAACTTTAAAGTCAAAATCGTCGAGCACTCATCTTTAAGAGCAATCAATTATTTTGAAGGACTCGAGAATGTCCAGCTCATTAGAGCTATACCTCCTCAAGTTTTTGTAAAGATAAGGAGATCAAATGTTTTTGTCATCACTAATGTCATCTTCAAATGATGTCGTACTGTAGGAATGTGGTTCATTATTCTTGATGGATGAGCTTTCAGCTGAATGAATTTGTCGACATTCATTCAGATCTAATTTCGCGAGTAAATTATTTTCTGCGACATTAGATTCTGGTTTTTGATTTTCTTCGTTCTTAATTTTATTCTCGCTCTTTTTCTTCTTATTCATGATATCAATTTCAAGTGTTTTCTCAAGAATTTGATTTTCTTTCTCCATGTTCTCAATTGTTAGAAATGCATTACGATAAATCTCATTCAGATCTTTTGTTATCTCTCTGTCAAGTGGCTCTTTTAAAACCAAAGTTTTATGAGCATGTTCTGCTTTTAACGAACTCTTATGATGAAACTTGGAAAGTTTCTTTTTCTCCTTTTCTAATTTTCGTTGATAATCTTTTTGGATTTTCTTCTTTTCCTCATTTAATATTCGATAAAATGATTTTGAGAACTTTTTGAGAAACTTTTTACCATTCTCTGAATTTTTCATGTCATCAATATACTCCTCATAGTTCGACTTGCTATTCTTCTCCTCATTTATTGTCTTAATATCATTACACAACTTTTCAAAGTTATTTACACATGAACTCAACTGTTGCATTATTCCCCCAACATAAGAGATAATTGATTTTGTGTCATCATGACTTGAACTTTTCTTCAAGTCTTCTAATTTGTTTGTAATCATGCTGATATTGTGTGACATTTTATCTAAATTCTTAGCAATTAGCGACACGCCATTCTTTGACTTGCTCCTTTTGATATCTGGATCTAAAAGGCTATGATTTCGTCTCTTATTAAGTTTCTTTGTTGATTTAGTGCTACACGATATTTGCGATACGTCCATGACCTGCGCTTTTATTTCCGTTTGTGCTCCTGACGTTTTACTCTCTACTACACGATGAGTAAGGATTAAATGCTTGAGTAATAGGCTAATTAATGATTCATTCGATGATTTGTAGCTTGTGATTATTTGCTTAACAATTTTGTCTTCCTTATTTAGTCCTAAAATTTGCATATATTCAACAATTTCTTTACGCTCATACCTAAATTTCTCTTCGTCAAAGTTTGGAAGGACGTGTGGCTGTATTTCGGCAGATAAGACTGATAATGAGAAGAAATATTTCTCACAATATAAATGCTCAGCATGCATTGAGTTCAGCACGTAAGCCTTTGGATTAAATGATTTTTTTAGATTCTGGATTTCTATGGCCTTTCCGATTGCTGTCTTTTGAAAATCACTGAATAATTGCTTCCTTAATTTCTTCTGTAAATCTTTCATAACTGCCTTCTGATCCATCCATGATTCGATTATATCCTTAAATTCTTCTTTAGGAATCTTATTAATTTCGTCTAAGTTAATTTTATTGCACATTATGCTGTTAAAAATAGTTATACAAACAAAAAACTTATTAATATCCTTGTTGCCAAAACAAACAGACAGAAATAAACTGAAAGTTTAATTATATTGGAACGGAACGGCATGGAAAGTGATATTAACGGTAATTTGAATTTAAATTTTACAGAGTGCGAAACTCAAAATCATTTTTATTGTTCTTGATTCTTTTTTTTATGCGCTTTTTATTTCATTCATGATAAACGAACGGATAACTTGGTAATCAAAATAGTAATCCCTCGTCATCTCCTTTTGTTATCTTTGAGGTTATGATAGGGTACTGGTGAAAATCCAATCAATGCCAATTGATTACAACCTTCTAAATCATAATAGAAGATAAGCATAAAGTTGATGAAAGAGTTTCAAGGCTTGTATTGCCGATTGGAGCCACCGTAAATATGGATGGAACGGCATTACATATATGAAGCTGTTGCTGCCATTTTTATCGCCCAATTAAAAGGAATTCAGCTCTCAGTCAAACAAATAATCGCTGTCAGTGTGACAGCTACCTGTGCCTCTATGGGTGCTGCTGGAACTATAAGCTGTAATTCTGTAAATTTAAATCTAATTCTGTAAATAGCTCTTGACCGACGGAAGTATAAAAATCAAAAAGAAAAAAAAAACATTTTGACTTTAAATCAATCTTTTTATTTTCCGACTGAAATGTTAAATGTTTCAAATTTCTGTGATATTAAATTTTTAACTTCCACGCAAAAGCGTGCAAGTTATTAGTTTCTTTATTCAAGTTATTATTATAATACCTAGATATGTTTTAAAATGCAATTTAAAGCAATTTTGGTTTTGATCATAGTAGGCTATTTTCAAAAAAAATATCGATTTTATATTTATATTAGCATTCTTTATCATTTATAATGCATAGGTATGTTTTAAAATGCAATTTAAAGCATTTTTGGTTTCGATCAAAGTAGGCTATTTTCAAAAAAAAAATATTGATTTTATATCTATATTAGCATTCTTTATCATTTATAATACCTAGATATGTTTTAAAATGCAATTTAAAGCATTTTTGGTTTTGATCATAGTAGGCTATTTTCAAAAAAAATGTCGATTTTATATTTATATTAGCATTCTTTATCATTTATAATGCATAGGTATGTTTTAAAATGCAATTTAAAGCATTTTTGGTTTCGATCATAGGAGGCTAATTTCAAAAAAATTTATAATACCTAGATATGTTTTAAAATGCAATTTAAAGCATTTTTGGTTTTGATCATAGTAGGCTATTTTCAAAAAAAATATCGATTTTATGTCTATATTAGCATTCTTATTCATTAATAATACCTAGATATGTTTTAAAATGCAATTTAAAGCATTTTTGGTTTTGATCATAGTAGGCTATTTTCAAAAAAAAATATCGATTTTATATCTATGTAAACAATCTTTATCATTTATAATACCTAGATATGTTTTAAAATGCAATTTAAAGCATTTTTGGTTTTGATCATAGTAGGCTATTTTCAAAAAAAATATCGATTTTATATTTATATTAGCATTCTTTATCATTTATAATGCATAGGTATGTTTTAAAATGCAATTTAAAGCATTTTTGGTTTCGATCAAAGTAGGCTATTTTCAAAAAAAAAATATCGATTTTATATCTATATTAGCATTCTTTATCATTTATAATACATAGATATGTTTTAAAATGCAATTTAAAGCATTTTTGGTTTTGATCAAAGAAGGCTATTTTCAAAAAAAAATATCGATTTTATATCTATATTAGCATTCTTTATCATTTATAATACCTAGATATGTTTTAAAATGCAATTTAAAGCAATTTTGGTTTCGACCATAGTTGGCTATTTTCAAAAAAAATATCGATTTTATATCTATATTAGCATTCTTTATCATTTATAATACCTAGATATGTTTTAAAATGCAATTTAAAGCATTTTTGGTTTCGACCATAGTTGGCTATTTTCAAAAAAAAATATCGATTTTATATCTATATTAGCATTCTTTATCATTTATAATACCTAGATATGTTATAAAATGCAATTTAAAGCATTTTTGGTTTCGACCATAATTGGCTATTTTCAAAAAAAAATATCGATTTTATATCTATATTAGCATTCTTTATCATTTATAATACCTAGATATGTTTTAAAATGCAATTTAAAGCATTTGTGGTTTCGATCATAGTAGGCTATTTTCAAAAAAATGTCGATTTTATATCTATATTTGCATTCTTTATCATTTTTAATACCTAAATATGTTTTATAATGCAATTTAAAGCATTTTTGGTTTCGACCATAGTTGGCTATTTTCAAAAAAAATATCGATTTTATATCTATATTAGCATTCTTTATCATTTATAATACCTAGATATGTTTTAAAATGCAATTTAAAGCATTTTTGGTTTCGATCAAAGAAGGCTATTTTCAAAAAAAAATATCGATTTTATATCTATATTAGCATTCTTTATCATTTATAATACATAGATATGTTTTAAAATGCAATTTAAAGCATTTTTGGTTTTGATCAAAGAAGGCTATTTTCAAAAAAAAATATCGATTTTATATCTATATTAGCATTCTTTATCATTTATAATACCTAGATATGTTTTAAAATGCAATTTAAAGCATTTTTGGTTTCGACCATAGTTGGCTATTTTCAAAAAAAATATCGATTTTATATCTATATTAGCATTCTTTATCATTTATAATACTAGATATGTTATAAAATGCAATTTAAAGCATTTTTGGTTTCGACCATAGTTGGCTATTTTCAAAAAAAATATCGACTTTATATCTATATTAGCATTCTTTATCATTTATAATACCTAGATATGTTTTAAAATGCAATTTAAAGCATTTTTGGTTTCGACCATAGTTGGCTATTTTCAAAAAAAATATCGATTTTATATCTATATTAGCATTCTTTATCATTTATAATACCTAGATATGTTTTAAAATGCAATTTAAAGCATTTTTGGTTTCGATCAAAGAAGGCTATTTTCAAAAAAAAATATCGATTTTATATCTATATTAGCATTCTTTATCATTTATAATACCTAGATATGTTTTAAAATGCAATTTAAAGCATTTTTGGTTTTGATCAAAGAAGGCTATTTTCAAAAAAAAAAATCGATTTTATATCTATATTAGCATTCTTTATCATTTATAATACCTAGATATGTTTTAAAATGCAATTTAAAGCAGTTTTGGTTTCGATCATAGTAGGCTATTTTCAAAAAAAAAATCGATTTTATATCTATATGAATATTCTTTATCATTTATAATACCTAGATATGTTTTAAAATGCAATTTAAAGCATTTTTGTATTCGATTATAGTAGGCTATTTTCAAAAAAAAAAATCGATTTTATATCTATATTAGCATTCTTTATCATTTATAATACCTAGATATGTTTTAAAATGCAATTTAAAGCAGTTTTGGTTTCGATCATAGTAGGCTATTTTCAAAAAAAAAAATCGATTTTATATCTATATGAATATTCTTTATCATTTATAATACCTAGATATGTTTTAAAATGCAATTTAAAGCATTTTTGGTTTCGATCATAGTAGGCTATTTTCAAAAAAAATATTGATTTTATATCTATATTAGCATTCGTTATCATTTATAATACCTGTTTATGTTTTAAAATGCAATTTAAAGCATTTTTGGATTCGATCATAGTAGGCTATTTTCAAAAAAAAAAATCGATTTTATATCTATATTAGCATTCTTCATCATTTATAATACCTAGATATGTTTTAAAATGCAATTTAAAGCATTTTTGGTTTCGATCATAGTAGGCTATTTTAAAAAAAAAAAAAATCGATTTTATATCTATATGAATATTCTTTATCATTCATAATACCTAGATATGTTTTAAAATGCAATTTAAAGCAGTTTTGGTTTCGATAATAGTAGGCTATTTTCAAAAAAAAAATCGATTTTATATCTATATTAGCATTCGTTATCATTTATAATACCTAGATATGTTTTAAAATGCAATTTAAAGCATTTTTGGTTTCGATCATAGTAGGCTATTTTCAAAAAAAAAAAAAATCGATTTTATATCTATATGAATATTCTTTATCATTCATAATACCTAGATATGTTTTAAAATGCAATTTAAAGCATTTTTGGATTCGATCATAGTAGGCTATTTTCAAAAAAAAATATCGATTTTATATCTATATTAGCATTTGTTATCATTTATAATACCTAGATATGTTTTAAAATGCAATTTAAAGCATTTTTGGATTCGATCATAGTAGGCTATTTTCAAAAAAAATATCAATTTTATATCTATATTAGCATTCTTTATCATTTTTAATACCTAGATATGTTTTAAAATGCAATTTAAAGCAGCTTTGGTTTCGATCATAGTAGGCTTTTTTCAAAAAAAAAATCGATTTTATATCTATATTAGCATTCTTTATCATTTATAATACCTAGATATGTTTTAAAATGCAATTTAAAGCAGCTTTGGTTTCGATCATAGTAGGCTTTTTTCAAAAAAAAAATCGATTTTATATCTATATTAGCATTCTTTATCATTTATAATGCATAGGTATGTTTTAAAATGCAATTTAAAGCAGTTTTGGTTTCGATCATAGTAGGCTATTTTCAAAAAAAAATCGATTTTATATCTATATTAGCATTCTTTATCATTTATAATACCTAGATATGTTTTAAAATGCAATTTAAAGCAGCTTTGGTTTCGATCATAGTAGGCTTTTTTCAAAAAAAAAATCGATTTTATATCTATATTAGCATTCTTTATCATTTATAATGCATAGGTATGTTTTAAAATGCAATTTAAAGCAGTTTTGGTTTCGATCATAGTAGGCTATTTTCAAAAAAAAAATCGATTTTATATCTATATTAGCATTCTTTATCATTTATAATACCTAGATATGTTTTAAAATGCAATTTAAAGCAGCTTTGGTTTCGATCATAGTAGGCTTTTTTCAAAAAAAAAAATCGATTTTATATCTATATTAGCATTCTTTATCATTTATAATGCATAGGTATGTTTTAAAATGCAATTTAAAGCAGTTTTGGTTTCGATCATAGTAGGCTATTTTCAAAAAAAAATCGATTTTTTATCTATATTAGCATTCTTTATCATTTATAATACCTAGATATGTTTTAAAATGCAATTTAAAGCAGTTTTGGTTTCGATCATAGTAGGCTATTTTCAAAAAAAAAATCGATTTTATATCTATATTAGCATTCTTTATCATTTATAATGCATAGGTATGTTTTCAAATGCAATTTAAAGCATTTTTGGATTCGATCATAGCAGGTTATTTTCAAAAAAAAATATCGATTTTATATCTATATTAGCATTCTTTATCATTTATAATACCTAGATATGTTTTAAAATGCAATTTAAAGCATTTTTGGATTCGATCATAGTAGGCTATTTTCAAAAAAAATATCAATTTTATATCTATATTAGCATTCTTTATCATTTTTAATACCTAGATATGTTTTAAAATGCAATTTAAAGCATTTTTGGTTTGGATCATAATATTTTTCTGTATATAAACTTTTACAATTGGACATCATCTATGCCTTCAAAACGCCAAAAAACGTCTTTTTTGAATTTTGAAAATTTTTCGCGTTCAAACGAATATATCTGAAGATTAAATTTTTTGAAGTTCTCGAGATAATAACATAGCTTTCGCAAATGAAAAAAAAATTCTAAACATATTAGAGTTTTAATATTTAATTATATTTTCCTGACTACTTTACTTTAAATTCATTTTGAGATGTTTGTAACTTTTCAATGTCTGTGAAAGGATACTTTTGATTTGAGTCTTAGCTTAAGAAAGGGGAGTGGACGAGCTGTGTTCCATTCCACTCCGCTCCATTGCACATTGCTTCGCTCCGCTCAGCAAGTTTTCATTTCACTTCGTTGTGACATTGAAAGCATCTGTCAACATCTGTGTTCGATCTTTTCGAGAAATTTGACAACTAGTATGTTATCTAACATAAGTCTAGTGTGAAAGTTCGTGGCTTTCTACGTAAGTCGTGATTTTTGGATGTTTTAAGGCTTTATAGATTGCAAATTCAAACAATTTTTGAAGGTGGTGCTAAAAAGTTGCTACCAATTTAAGTAAACTTAGAAGAATTAGAAATATGCTGGTATAAAACCTAAGCTTATCACTCGTTCTGTTGCTTTTCCGCAATAATACACTTCCAATTCATATACGTTCACATTGGCACCAAGACAGCGATGATTATTCAATGCAATAATATCATTGATAGTGTACGTCCTTCCTTCTGTTTTTGGACTAATATCAATACGAAAAAACATATTTTCTGGACTTATGTAAATTTCTGTTTTGTTCTTTCATGACAATGGTGAAAAATTTGCATGAATTACGCACATATCCAAAACCTCGAGATATTTCTAATGTGTATCTAGCTCGAAAATCATCAACTTTGCTCAAACCTAAGGTTACCAAATTTCTGGTACCATGTATTTCCATCATTACATTATTGAATTTATTTTTAACTTCCTGAGTGACATCAACCAACACAAAAGTTTGTGCTGCTCTTGTTCCTTCTCGCGATAATCGTCCATCAACATTATGTATGTGATCTTGCTTGAAAAAAATCCATACAACGAAAGCATGGAAAAGCAGTAATATCCAAATATGCTAATGCTAAATGCATACAATACATCTTTAGATACTTGACGACATTTTAATTTTCAAGCACTATTGTATGGCGTAGCTAAATAGTTTTCCAAAACAGGAGATATTGTATGAGATAAATTATAGCATAAGTTTGATACTTGCTAGCTCTCGTATTCCAAGAATACAACTCTTTGTTATGTCTAGGCTATCTGCAATGCTAACAATGTAGATAACGATTAGATCCAACTCCGCTATGTTAGGGTTATGTACATCGCATCTTCTTTGAGTTTGTTCGTTTGTTTATCTGTTCTTTAGCTCTTTATGTTCACTTGGTACTGTTTCAGATACCTGATTCCTACTAGTAAATAAATACATTTCGAGAATTGAAAATTCCACAACCTCGTTCATCGGAGGTGGCGAGAAAACTTACTTTTCAAATTATCTTTTTAAATCCGAAAAGTCCTTTAAATAATTTTTTAATTTTATATGTTGACATTTTCAATTCCGTTTTATATTTTCGTTAATTTAACTATTTACCGCTTTATCATTCAATAAAAATCATACCTGTGCATAGTGAAATTTAATACTAGTTAAAAGAAATCGCAAGTGTTTTGTTTGGATAAATTATCAAGTAATTGAAAGTGTTTGCATATAAGTTCCAGTAAATCTAACAGCACGATTCAATTACATCATTAAATAATGACTAGTAATGTGATATATGAATAAATTAAGATTCCATTCTAATGAGTAACTTAGAAAATCGTCAATCTGAATTCATGGAGAGAGGTAAGTCGAATTTATGCATTAATTCTCGGAATTTCTTAAAAAATCCAAATCACAACATTCTTGTCACCGGCTTATGATTATAAATAAACTAATTATGGATTCTAAGCCATGCTTTATTTAAAGTTCGTCAATTTCCTTTTGTTTCTCTTCTTGAAGTTTCATATTTTTGGCTCTAAAAGACTTCAACAAGCATAAAAATAAGAAGAATCTATTCAAGGTCATTAAAAATACTTAAGCACTAGGCATAAGCAGAATTAAAGCTTGTTTATTGCCACATCTATGATAATCTTTCATAGAAACTTGTTCTCAATTTTACAAAGCTTTAAACGTGATAAAAATAGTGAAGAACTATTTTGCATAAATCGCCAATAAAAAAAGGGGATTCCTAGTGACGAAGTTAATTAAACTATGCAAAATATCAACATTCTCATATGCTACACAGTATGAAGATCTTGAGTTCATAAACAGGAAGTTAAAGGTTTATTTTTTGTGCGATCTACCACAACAATAGAAAAGTTAAACAAGACAGTCTTCAAGTTACTACTTGTTCACCTCGAGATTCCAATTAATGTTCCCTTTAATCTGCGTCACACACTACCGAACAGTACATCATTTTGTATATTCAAAGGGCTTTGCTCTGCTGTGCTTGAATTGTGAAAGAAAAAGTCCAAATAAAATTGCATTAATTCCCAATTTTATAAGCATCAGCAAGAATGTTTCTAAGAATTTAAATAAATGCATGCACAGAATAAAGTCTGAAGAAGTTCTGTGAATTTAGCTCTTGAAATTCCCGTCCAATTCTCAGACACAAAAATCAATCGCTCCGCATTAATTCATAGCACATGATACTTTTTTGGAATATCCATTGAGCTTCAAGATGCTTAACGACTGCATGTCTTATTTATAAATTTCATGTGACTTCCATGGAGGTTAAAAGGTGCTTAGTCTCGTGCTTTAGTATTTTTATTATAAATTTGACGTCGATTAATTGATTTTAAGAGAGTTGATTTGGGTTAGTGGACATCAAAGGTTAAATGGGGGAGGAGGGGGAAGGGGAGAACATCCATATAGATAGAATAAATTGTGAACATCATTTATGAACGGTCCGTATACAACAGCAAAGATGTACTTAAATCACATGATGGCCCAAGATTTATAACATCAAAATTTAAACCAAATCAATCCAGCAAAACCAACATCGCAGCTCGGGCGACGAAACCACAATTACATCACACGTTTTTGTTGATGACTGTTCATTTAAAGTATCTAGAGAAATTAAAAGGGCTTTGATTCGCCGGAAACTAGTTTTTTTTACTTTCTAAATTATTTGGAAATACAAACAACAATTTGTAACATATTTTGATGAATATTATGTGTCATGCATATGAAAGAAGTGGATTGAAGGGCTTTCAGCTTCACTTGCTATTGTAATATTTATCAACTAATTTACGCACAGACTATTATGTAAATTTTTAATGATCATTAATTTGGTGAAAAAAAAAACTTTGACAAATGAATATTGATGAAATTTAGATCTAAATCAGAAAGCTTCATGGTGTGTGCTACTGATTTTAGAATTTCACGCTTCAATCTTGTCATGATAATCTCTGAGAAATTTGTTGAATTCTAAGTCTGACAAGTTCTCATCTCAAGCTACAAACAGGTTGAAGCACAATTTTATTGGTATTTTTCCATTGGATAATGATTTAACTGTCTGCATTATGTCCACATGTCTGTCTTCATTATATCTGCTTCTAAAAACTGAAACTGACCGTTATTTTATTTTTTGAATTTTTTAAGATTATTTTGAAATATATTTTGACATTTATTTTTCAAATATAAAATTATCGTTATTTTTTTAAATTATTTTCATTAAACAAAACTGCGCCTTCAGTCACAAATGATTATCGTCTTACTAGTTCCTACATTTTAAAGAAAACTTCATGAAAAATATATAGTCAGATACAGCAAAATAAACAATATGAATGTTATAATAAAGCTCTCTCGTGCCTCAGTTATTTTCTGACTGTCAATCGGTATGGTTGAATTTTAAAACAACTGCGTACATAGCGATTCATATTTTTACCAGACAGTCGATCACTTTTATTAAAAGTTTTTCGCTAGTAAAAATTATTCTTACCTATATTAAAAAACGATAAACGCGTCTAGAATAAAAAAAGTTTCATTGTTTTCGGCGGAAATTCAAGGTGTTTTTCGAGAGACAGTAATTTTTTCGGCAATCAAATTATCACTTATTATTGTTATTATCCATATTGTATCGTTAAAAGTGAATCTTCTTGTGAGTTTATTTTAAAAATTATTGAGATATTTTTATCTGCAATGAAGGTTAACAACCAGTAAATAAATTCTTATCAGATTTGTGCTATTTCGGTATAAATGTGAGATTTATTAATAAATATGTTAAGTGAAGATTTTGAAGTAAAATGTGAAGTTTGGTGAAATTCTTCCAACCATTCTAAATTAAGATTAAACTTAAAAGGGTGATTTCTACATATTGGCTTTCTCTTGTGTCCAAAGCTTTCAACTCATTTGTATTTAGTAATTTAATGTTCGTAAAAGTTATTAAAGCTGATTAAATTTGCATTAAATTAATTTTTAAATAATAACGACATTTTAAATTTTAAAGTTTTAAAACCTCACAATTTCTTCTCAATCTGAGAAATTGGAAGGTTCACTTTCGTCTAAATCTCCGAAACCTCATAAATTATTTGATAAATTCATCAAAACCACACAATTCCTTCAAAAATACAATTGTATGGTTCACAAACATTTAAATTAAAATTCACCGTTATCTTTTTAATTCGAAAACTTAATTTCAATTCAACAAGCCATCATTTATCATCCATTCAATACAATTCCAATCATTCACTTCCAATTGTCTCTTAATGACCATGAAAATAATTCCAATAGAAAATAATTAATTAAATATGTCACAATAACTCAATATTGAAAGATTTGTCCATTGAACCATAACCGTCTGTGTACAACAAGTTACTGGTTCCTTCAGAGTCGTCAAACATTTTTTTTTATCACGGTAGAATGTTGGAAAAAAAAGCTGTGAATTTAGAATGCAATACAGATTGCAACAAAGACGCAATGATGTGGAAAACTTAACAAATTCATTTAAATAATTTATGCAAGAAAAACAAAATATTTATAGTGTCAGTAAAATTAATATTTGTACTGCATTGTGACGCTTAGTGCTAGAAACAGTTTATTCTTCTTTATATTAAGCTTGAGTAGTTTTCAGTGCCGACTTATCTTAATTAAATAGTAAACTAATTTAATGGATGATTAAAGCTGTAAAAATGCACAATATTCGCTAGAATGCTTTGAGGAAATTCCTATAAACTGCTATAAACATTAAAGATTTGTTGGATTTTCTAAGATCCAAAAAAAATCCAGTGACGAGACATTTCAGTTCTAGACAATTAATCATCGTGAAATAATCTAATTGAGTTAATATGAATTACTAGCTTGTTAAATATTTATTATTTGATAAAGCACCGTATAAAACATAAAAAATTAATCAGAGCTGTTATTTCCATTTCCAGAACGAAGTGGAATCAGTTCAAATAATAATAAAATAAGGAAAAACAGAATAACAAGCAAAATGAAAATTAAAGTGAACGGACCGAATTTCAAAGAGCATTTGCTGACAATTCTTACAATTGGTGCTGTGATTCTTGGTGTTGTTACTGGAATTATTGTCAGAGCTGCTGGTCTCGATGATGAAACACCGAAATTCAATCCACGTACTGTTATGTACATCAACTTTCTTGGAGATTTGTTTCTGAGAATACTTAAATCATTAATTTTGCCACTTATCGTCTCATCATTAATTGCTGCAGTTGGATCATTAGATATCTCACTATCTAAACGTATAGGAACACGTGCAATTGCTTATTATCTTCTAACAACGGTTATGGCCGTTATTTTAGGGATTATTTTGGTTGTTACAATTCGGCCTGGTGGCGATGGTTTAGAAAAACATGATAATGAAGGCAGCAAACCATCAACACGAGCTGTCACGACACCTGACACATTATTAGATTTGGTGAGGTAAGCAGAAAATTATGATGTCACGGAACTTAACATTTTTGATTAGCAAACAACATTATTAACTCAATCGCTTGTTGTTTGTTAAGAGTGGGATGTGCTTTCGAGAAAAATTTAATTATGTTTGCTTATCAAGGAAAATTCCATTCATCTCGAGCTTTAATGCACGTTAATACTTTATTTATGTGTAATGTGTTTTTTTTTTTCAAATTGAATATTCGCGTCAATTTTTGCATCTTTTTTGATTGATTTGAATCTTTTTTACCGTTTTAATTTTTGTTTTTTATTTTCACACCATATTCACGTGTGAATGTATTGTTTTTGTTCAGATTAACATTTCCATTATATACCTTCAAGCATATGCTGAGCGAAACTCAGTTGACCCGTTAAACTTTACACTTTGAAACCAACTTTGTGCTTTCACCAATTGATTTGAAACCTTTACCATAACTTCGTAATAATTCCGTCGAATTTCGTCTAGCCTTCTTTGACAAGCTACAGCAGCTTCAACTTTTGGGTATATTGCAGGCTAAGTTCAGTTGGTAAGAGTCCAAAAAACAAGCTTTAACTGACATTTTGTATAACAGGAAAGGAGTTTTGACATATCAAAGTTTCGGAACTGACCGTACCTTTCAGGATCTTCAAATTGGTCAATTTTAAATATGGAATATGACATGTCTAAACATAAGTCCTTTTTAAGAGGATTCAGAATCTATAAAAATATTTTGAATTGGACCGTCCACAAGTGACTTATGTCCAAAATAAGTTTTTTCTTCAAAAAAACGTCAATGTCATGTTATATGTTTGGTCTATCCTTAAAACTTTTGATGGTATGGTGTGAATATATCTGCATTGAGTTTCTACGATACACCAGTTAACATTAGAATTTGAATATTTAAATCAATTTAATGATTTTAAAATGAAAATAATTAATGACTTCTGACTAATCAAAATTCACTTGAATTTATGTTTTCCTGCATTAGTCACCGTCCTTAATTTAAATCATTTAAATGAAATTATTTTACTATAAATATCCCACATATCGGCGAGTTATCAAGAAGTCGTGATTTTAAATGCCTGATTCATCATCACAAATCAATTGATGAAAGTAAACTTGACCGTGAATAGCATAAATGAAAACGAACTAGTGTATCGGGTAGAAACCCAATGCGGATATATTCACACCGTACCATCAAAAGTCTTATGGATAGAGTGGGCGTGAAGTACGGCCGAGACCCATATCGACACAGTTCAAAAGATATACATAATTTATGTCATAATTATGTCAGCTACAAAAACACTTACTTTGAATTTTGTCACCCTCGGGAACACTATGAACCAGTATAGCTGATTTTGGGACAAATATTGGCCATACTTCACACTTATTTGAACCACATTTTCTCGTAAATGTTAAATATTATTAAAAAGTAATTAATCCTGAATTATGTCGCTATTTTGTCAAGTGTTTTAAGATAAAGAATTTGGTTTTTGGTTTCCATAGTGAGAACAAAATAAGAGTATGAACAAAATTCAGATGGGGTAGTCGAAATTTTAGATTTCGTTTTTTTAAGCTATGCATTACAAAAAGTAATATTGGTATATGATTTATGTCAGAATTATGTCAATTTAAATAAAACATCCAAAAAAATTTTTTGACCAAAGAACCAAGTAGAAATACATTTTCAATTTTGGACAAGGGGCGACCCTAGTCATAATCAATTTTGTCACTTTTTTCATCGAGGGTTTATCCAAATGGATTGAAACTTTGCATAAATATTCTAGTGCTTAAAACAAATACAAATAAAACATCCTAAAATTTTTTGAGCAAAGAACCAAGTAGGAAATACAATTTCAATTTTGGACTAGGGGCGACCCTAGTCAAAATCAATTTTGTCACTTTTTTTCTTCGAGGGTTTATCCATATGGATTGAAACTTTGCATAAATATTCAAGTGCTTAAAACAAATAAAAATAAAACATCCTAAAAATTTTGTGAGCAAAGAACCAAATAGGAAATACATTTTCAATTTTGGACTAGGGGCGACCCTAGTCAAAATCAATTTTGTCACTTTTTTCATCGAGGGTTTATCCAAATGGATTGAAACTTTGCATAAATATTCTAGTGCTTAAAACAAATACAAATAAAACATCCTAAAATTTTTGTGAGCAAAGAACCAAATAGGAAATACATTTTCAATTTTGGACTAGGGGCGACCCTAGTCAAAATCAATTTTGTCACTTTTTTCATCGAGGGTTTATCCAAATGGATTGAAACTTTGCATAAATATTCTAGTGCTTAAAACAAATACAAATAAAACATCCTAAAATTTTTGTGAGCAAAGAACCAAGTAGGAAATACATTTTCAATTTTGGACTAGGGGCGACCCTAGTCAAAATCAATTTTGTCACTTTTTTTCTTCGAGGGTTTATCCATATAGATTGAAACTTTGCATAAATATTCTAGTGCTTAAAACAAATACAAATAAAATATCCTAAAATTTTTTGAGCAAAGAACCAAGTAGGAAATACAATTTCAATTTTGGACTAGGGGCGACCCTAGTCAAAATCAATTTTGTCACTTTTTTTCTTCGAGGGTTTATCCATATGGATTGAAACTTTGCATAAATATTCAAGTGCTTAAAACAAATAAAAATAAAACATCCTAAAATTTTTGTGAGCAAAGAACCAATTAGGAAATACATTTTCAATTTTGGACTAGGGGCGACCCTAGTCAAAATCAATTTTGTCACTTTTTTCATCGAGGGTTTATCCAAATGGATTGAAACTTTGCATAAATATTCTAGTGCCTAAAACAAATACAAATAAAACATCCTAAAATTTTTGTGAGCAAAGAACCAAGTAGGAAATACATTTTCAATTTTGGACTAGGGGCGACCCTAGTCATAATCAATTTTGTCACTTTTTTCTTCGAGGTTTTATAAAAATGGATTAAAACTATGCATAAATATTCTAGTGCTTAAAACAAATACAAACAAAACATTCTAAAATTTTTTGAGCAAAGAACCAAGTAGGAAATACAATTTCAATTTTGGACTAGGGGCGACCCTATTCAAAATCAATTTTGTCACTTTTTTCTTCGAGGGTTTATCCAAATGGATTGAAACTTTGCATAAATATTAAAATGCTTAAAACAAATACAAATAAAATATCCAAAAAATTTTTTGAGCAAAGAACCAAGTAGGAAATACATTTTCAATTTTGAACTAGGGGCGACCCTAGTCAAAATCAATTTTGTCACTTTTTTCATCGAGGGTTTATACAAATGGATTGAAACTATGCATAAATATTCTAGTGCTTAAAACAAATACAAATAAAACATTCTAAAATTTTTTGAGCAAAGAACCAAGAAGGAAATACAATTTCAATTTTGGACTAGGGGCGACCCTAGTCAAAATCAATTTTGTCACTTTTTTTTCTTCGAGGGTTTATCCAAATGGATTGAAACTTTGCATAAATATTCTAGTGCCTAAAACAAATACAAATAAAACATCCTAAAATTTTTGTGAGCAAAGAACCAAGTAGGAAATACATTTTCAATTTTGGACTAGGGGCGACCCTAGTCAAAATCAATTTTGTCACTTTTTTCATCGAGGGTTTATCCAAATGGATTGAAACTTTGCATAAATATTTTATTGCTTAAAACAAATACAAATAAAAATTTTAAAAATTTTTTGAGCAAAGAACCAAGTAGGAATACAATTTCAATTTTGGACTAGGGGCGACCCTAGTCAAAATCAATTTTGTCACTTTTTTCATCGAGGGTTTATCCAAATGGATTGAAACTATGCATAAATATTCTAGTGCTTAAAACAAATACAAATAAAACATCCTAAAATTTTTTGAGCAAAGAACCAAGAAGGAAATACATTTTCAATTTTGGACTAGGGGCGACCCTAGTCAAAATCAATTTTGTCACTTTTTTTCTTCGAGGGTTTATCCATATGGATTGAAACTTTGCATAAATATTCAAGTGCTTAAAACAAATAAAAATAAAACATCCTAAAATTTTTGTGAGCAAAGAACCAATTAGGAAATACATTTTCAATTTTGGACTAGGGGCGACCCTAGTCAAAATCAATTTTGTCACTTTTTTCATCGAGGGTTTATCCAAATGGATTGAAACTTTGCATAAATATTTTATTGCTTAAAACAAATACAAATAAAACATTCTAAAATTTTTTGAGCAAAGAACCAAGAAGGAAATACATTTTCAATTTTGGACTAGGGGCGACCCTAGTCAAAATCAATTTTGTCACTTTTTTCATCGAGGGTTTATCCAAATGGATTGAAACTTTGCATAAATATTTTATTGCTTAAAACAAATACAAATAAAACATTCTAAAATTTTTTGAGCAAAGAACCAAGAAGGAAATACATTTTCAATTTTGGACTAGGGGCGACCCTAGTCATAATCAATTTTGTCACTTTTTTCTTCAAGGATAAATCCAAATACAGTAAAACTTTGCATGAGCATTCTAATCTTCAGGTCACACATTTCTGAATTAATAAAAATCATTTTTTTGGACAAAATTTTAAGTCACGTTGTTTTTGAATGTACAACCAAATTTATAAAATTTGGGTCTGACGACATATAGAATACATTTCTTGCTTTAGATATTTAAAACTGTTATGTATAAATATTAGTATACTCACACAAAGTTTCACTGTATTTGGATAAACCTTCGAAGAAAAAAAGTGAAAAACTAGATTTTGACTAGACCTGTCCCAAGTTCATAATTGAAAATGTATTTCCTACTTGGTTCTTTGCTCAAAAAAAATTTTTTTATCCAAAGTTTAATTTAAAATAAAAAAAAATCACAGTGAACTTTTAATTTGAAAAATTCGTAAGAAAGGAAAGTTTTTTGCTTTTTCTGAAGCAACGGCTGTTCCTACCTTGCCCAAAAATAATACAGCTCTTCTATAGAGCAGCACGGATCAAATTTAAAAAACTAGAAGTCTCTACGATGTCTCGTTATTGAGATTTCTTGCTAATTAACTTGCTTGCTTGCTTGCTTGTTTGCTTACAGAAAGCGTATTTTTCGATTTTCTCAGCAATGCCACAACCAATTTGAAATCTGTTTTTTGAAAATGATGTAAAATTTCAGGCACAAACTTTTCTTCTTGCCCTTTTATAACCAATTTTGCTTTGTTTTCTCACAAAATGCGAAAAACTGATTTTTCAATCTGAACAAAATCAATAGATTCACACGTGAAAACGGTGTGAATATAAACATTAACATACATAGCCGGGCTTATTCATGCATTTAAATTCACATATTATCATGAACAGAATTTGTTTTGATTTTCTCTTGTTTGTCATTCTTTCAGAAATATTTTTCCACCAAATTTAGTCCAAGCGGCTATTCAGCAATATCAAACAGTTCTTGTAAACAACTCAAATCCAGACATGAGCCAGTGGAAAATAACAGGTGCTTATACAGACGGAACTAATATTATGGGACTTGTTGTTGCGTCTATAGTTTTTGGAATAGCCATAAGTTCTACGAGAACACAATCGAAGCACTTGCTGACTGTTTTTAATGAATTGAGTCATGTTATGATGAAAATTACTCGATGGGTTATTTGGTTAAGTCCTTTGGGCGTGTTCTTTTTAATTCTATCAAAAATTATGGAAATGGACAATATTTTATCAGTTTTTGCCAAACTTGGGCTTTACTTCCTGACTGTCAGCGGTGGAATAATTTTTCATGGATTTTTTATCCTTCCAACAATTTTCTTCTTCCTTACACGAAAAAATCCATTAAAATTTATTGGAAATATGGCTCAAGCTATTGCAACTGCTTTTGGAACTAGTTCATCATCTGCAACATTACCTGTCACAATGGAATGTCTAGAAGATAAGAATAAAGTTGATAAAAGAGTTTCTAGATTTGTATTGCCGATTGGAGCCACAATAAATATGGATGGAACGGCATTATATGAAGCGGTAGCTGCTATTTTTATCGCACAATTAAAAGGAATTCAGCTTTCAGTTACACAAATAATTGCTGTCAGTGTGACAGCTACCTGTGCATCGATTGGTGCTGCTGGAATTCCGCAAGCAGGTCTAGTGACCTTAGTTATGGTCTTGGACACGGTCGGACTTCCAGCTGAGGACGTTTCGCTTGTAATTGCCGTCGATTGGATGCTGTAAGTTTTTTAACAACCATGCAAAATGGTCTAATTTTAATGATATCCGAGAAATAATACGAGATGATTCCCTAAGTTTCAAGTTTTTTTGTCGACCTGGTGCCGAGTAGCAGGTCCTCAAAGTTGGGTATGGGCGAATTGTCAGTTTTTTGAGATGCTTTATTCAAACTCCATTTGCACAAAAACTCCTCAATCAAATGAAAAATGGTTTTCTTTTCTTAAAAGCATATAATAATACCTTTATTCTAGTATATCATACTATTTGAAAAATGTTTACCAAACGGAGTAGTGACAGATTTAGTATGAAAAAATAGGGGAAATCATTCTATAAAAGTTCATAATTGCTGCGAAGTACCTGAATTAAGATCTAGCCTATTAATTTGACCTTTATTAAATAGTTCAAACCTCCATCTTTCTAAATTGGTATCTTATTAAAGCCAGATATTGCTACTTTTCGAGTTATAGTCAATTAATGTTGGCCAAAAATGCAAAATTATAAAAAAAATTATTTCTCAAAAATCATTCAAAAAATCAATTTTTGCTCGAAACGAGCTTTAGCTTGAACTTTAAAGTTTAATACTTGATTGTTCGACTATTTATTATTGATTTTTAAAAAAACTTTTTCAACAAAATTGTATTTTGGGTACCCTACGATGGTTATCGACTTGACCCTTTCTCCAGTCACTCAAACTGCTTTAACTTTTTATTGAGCAAATATTTTTTTAAGCGGTTTTCGGTTTATTGTAGCCTAGTGTAATATCTTTCTAATGATATGCAACATTTTATAGTTAAGTTTAGTCGTCTTCATAAATATTGTCTTTGTTTGTAACATACCCTATTTTGAAAAAAAACATAATTTTTGATAATTATGGCTCTGAAAACTCAAAAATTAAGTTTTATAAACTTTTCCATCTTACTATAATAACTCAAAAAGTAGCAATCTCTGGCTATAATAAGATACCAATTTAGAAAGATGGAGGTTTGAACTATTCAATAAAGGTCAAATTAAAAGACTAGATCTTAATTCAGGTACTTCGCGGCAATCATAACTTCTCCGATTGGTAGACATTTTTCAAATAGTATGATATACTAGAGTAAAGGTATTATTGTATGCTGTTAGGAATAGAAAACTATTTTTCATTTGTTTGAGTTGTTTTTGTGCAAATGGAGTTTGAATTAAGCATCTCAAAAAACTGACGACGAAAAAATTTGAAACTTATGGAATCATCCAAAAAGTACCTCATTTCCGCAAATTTTTAAAATTAGACCACTGTGCCACTATTTCACAATATATTTTATTTGCTTATTAGAAAGGGGCTTATGCAAGGAATCAGAATCTATTATAATTTGGGCCAAAATGCAGCAGTGCTGGAGATATAGCCCGAAATCTATTTTGATAACCTTCGAAAGTAAATATTTTCAATTTATCAGAACTTTTGCTTGTCTCAACTAATTTTCTTGAAACTTCTTTTAAATGATAGGTATAAGTCTTAGCTTTAATACTAATATCAAAAATACTGCACACTTTTTTTGAGTATGTAGATCACTGATGCATTTTAGTGTTTTTTTTTTACCAAATCGTATTCATTTGCAAGATCTACAAGAATAGTTTCACTTTTAAGGTTTAAATTTATATTTACACATAAAAAAATTGAGATTTTTTCGAAAAATATAAGGTTTTTAGCTATGTTTTGACTTCAATTGACTATAACTGCATATTCCAAGTGAGTGGAGAGACAAGTTTTAAATGTTTCATATCGCTCTCACTTGTATCTTTCTAAAACTGTGAAAACCTGGAGAAAAGTTCTGGCAAAGTTTTCAACTTTGAACCATTTGAAACATATCGTCTGCATACGCCTCAAAAATCTTTTTAAACTTTTTCGCGCATTTTTGAAACTTGTTTCAAAAAGGTAGCTTAATAATACGCTTTGTTCGGCTGCTCGGCTGCTCAGGGCACGTTAAAAACTTTGCAATCAGACATCGCGCGTTGATCGAAAAAGTGAAAAGTTTGTCAAAAATTCAGCTTATATATTTATGTTGTAGACATTGGTCCCTGGTTTATCGGAAAAATATTTTTTTTCTCTGGAAGTGCCTGGTCCACGAGAAAAGAAGGTTTGAATTTTTGTACTTCATGTAATTTTTAAAATGCTATTGTGCTTCACCTACTTATCCGGCAGTCTTCAAATATTTTTTATTTGATAGGTACAAGTTAAAACTTTCTTATGGATATCCACATGATATACTTTTGATGTATATTTGTTCCTAAAAGTTGAAAAAAGTTCGAAAAAACTAGTTTTTTTGTTATTTTTTGGACCTCATGACTATATAAAGCTTTCTAAATTTTTTTGATTGTAGTATATTGTAGATCTCATTTATATCTACAAACATCACATGCATAATCTACAGATTTTATGTAGTTTGAGTAGTGTAAATTAACTTTGAAGTCAAAAATTTGCATATTTTTTGCTTTATTCTCAATTATGATCCACTGTCCACGTCCGGCTCTCAAAAAAACCACTTTTATGGAATTTATCTTATAGTTCTAGCATAGATCTATAGAAAAAAGTCCAAAAACTAAAAGTGGAATGACCTTTGTGCCTAGTAGTGGCAGTCAAAGTATGACATATTGAACCTAGCATATCTGTTCTCCTAGCTGCTAATGAGCTTCAATTTCTTTTTAAATACATCAACACTACTTTAAGCTTTCTTACAATACCAAAATTATTGCATATACTTAAGATTTACAATAGTTCTGAGCAAAAATGTCAAGCATAGGTTTTCAGATTCGGTAAAATTTGATTCATTTTTTTAAAATTTTGATGATATTTACTAGAAATTACATCTTTATATGACTTATTACATACCATTGGAAAGCTTTTTAAATGAACTTTATGAAAATTGTAGATATGTTTTGATTTAAACTAGTTATAGTAGCTTTATTGAGCATTTAATGGTTTCATAACATCATACATCACTTTTTGCCTAAATTTTCAACAAAATTGTGTTTTTAATTAAAAACTTTTGTTGTGGATGTTAAGTGCATTGCTATTTGAAATAAAATCTGATTTCAGTTCCTTTCATTAAGACTGGTATGTGAAAATTCATTTTGAATTTTTAAGAAACCTCACTAGGCCAACTTCAGGCTCATATTTTGAACCTTTCCGGCAAGTGATTCTTTTTTCTTATTGCATTAATTGATATAACATACTAGAATCTACAAATTAATGAAATAAAATTTGGGAGCCGGACGTGGACAGTGGATCATAATTGAGAATAAAGCAAAAAATATGCAAATTTTTGACTTCAAAGTTAATTTACACTACTCAAACTACATAAAATCTGTAGATTATGCATGTGATGTTTGTAGATATAAATGAGATCTACAATATACTACAATCAAAAAAATTAAGAAAGCTTTATATAGTCATGAGGTCCAAAAAATGACAAAAAAACTAGTTTTTTCGAACTTTTTTCAACTTTTAGGAACAAATACACATCAAAAGTATATCATGTGGATATCCATAAGAAAGTTTTAACTTGTACCTATCCAATGTCTGTAAACAAGATCTTATTTTTCGATTTCGAAGGATCTTATTTTTCGAACGCGGGAAAAAAAATTTGAATTCAAAATGTTCGTTATGAAAATTTGTTTACATTTTCAATTCAAAAATTCGAAATTTTTTAAAATGGTTAAAATTTGTGCAATTCAAAGCTGTAAAGGAAGAGGAAATAGCAACATCCCCATATTTGAACTTCCAGAGAGTTCGATACATCGAGGAAAATGGATCGACTATTTAAAATATCATGAAATTCAATATATTCAGTCAAAAAAGTATTTTTTGTTTACGATTAAATGCGGATGCATTTCCATCTCTTGTAAGTATATACAAAAAATGTTATTTCAAGGAAACTATCGATAAGCTTATTAAAGCATTTGTTGAATTCAGGAAGAAGTTACAGTATCAGGGTCGCTTTATGCATAAAAGAAATGAATTTGCCTCAAAAAATAATTAAATTTTAAAGTTAATAAATATTTTAATGATTTCCAAAATTACTAACGTATTTTTAATTTTCAAATATGACAAAATTACTAACGTATATTTGTTTTTTAAAATTGATCATTTACGAATTTTTTCAAAATTTTCGAAATCCAACTGATATTTATTCTGTTTACAGACATTGGGTACCTATCAAATAAAAAATATTTGAAGACTGACGGATAAGTAGGTGAAGCACAATAGCATTTTAAAAATTACATGAAGTACAAAAATTCAAACCTTCTTTTCTCGTGGACCAGGCACTTCCAGGGAAAAAAAATATTTTTCCGATAAACCAGGGACCAATGTCTACAACATAAACATATAAGCTGAATTTTTGACAAACTTTTCACTTTTTCGATCAACGCGCGATGTCTGATTGCAAAGTTTTTAACGTGCCCTGAGCAGCCGAGCAGCCGAACAAAGCGTATTATTAAGCTACCTTTTTGAAACAAGTTTCAAAAATGCGCGAAAAAGTTTAAAAAGATTTTTGAGGCGTATGCAGACGATATGTTTCAAATGGTTCAAAGTTGAAAACTTTGCCAGAACTTTTCTCCAGGTTTTCACAGTTTTAGAAAGATACAAGTGAGAGCGATATGAAACATTTAAAACTTGTCTCTCCACTCACTTGGAATATGCAGTTATAGTCAATTGAAGTCAAAACATAGCTAAAAACCTTATATTTTTCGAAAAAATCTCAATTTTTTTATGTGTAAATATAAATTTAAACCTTAAAAGTGAAACTATTCTTGTAGATCTTGCAAATGAATACGATTTGGTAAAAAAAAAACACTAAAATGCATCAGTGATCTACATACTCAAAAAAAGTGTGCAGTATTTTTGATATTAGTATTAAAGCTAAGACTTATACCTATCATTTAAAAGAAGTTTCAAGAAAATTAGTTGAGACAAGCAAAAGTTCTGATAAATTGAAAATATTTACTTTCGAAGGTTATCAAAATAGATTTCGGGCTATATCTCCAGCACTGCTGCATTTTGGCCCAAATTATAATAGATTCTGATTCCTTGCATAAGCCCCTTTCTAATAAGCAAATAAAATATATTGTGAAATAGTGGCACAGTGGTCTAATTTTAAAAATTTGCGGAAATGAGGTACTTTTTGGATGATTCCATAAGTTTCAAATTTTTTCGTCGCCAGTTTTTTGAGATGCTTAATTCAAACTCCATTTGCACAAAAACAACTCAAACAAATGAAAAATAGTTTTCTATTCCTAACAGCATACAATAATACCTTTACTCTAGTATATCATACTATTTGAAAAATGTCTACCAATCGGAGAAGTTATGATTGCCGCGAAGTACCTGAATTAAGATCTAGTCTTTTAATTTGACCTTTATTGAATAGTTCAAACCTCCATCTTTCTAAATTGGTATCTTATTATAGCCAGAGATTGCTACTTTTTGAGTTATTATAGTAAGATGGAAAAGTTTATAAAACTTAATTTTTGAGTTTTCAGAGCCATAATTATCAAAAATTATGTTTTTTTTCAAAATAGGGTATGTTACAAACAAAGACAATATTTATGAAGACGACTAAACTTAACTATAAAATGTTGCATATCATTAGAAAGATATTACTCTAGGCTACAATAAACCGAAAACCGCTTAAAAAAATATTTGCTCAATAAAAAGTTAAAGCAGTTTGAGTGACTGGAGAAAGGGTCAAGTCGATAACCATCGTAGGGTACCCAAAATACAATTTTGTTGAAAAAGTTTTTTTAAAAATCAATAATAAATAGTCGAACAATCAAGTATTAAACTTTAAAGTTCAAGCTAAAGCTCGTTTCGAGCAAAAATTGATTTTTTGAATGATTTTTGAGAAATAATTTTTTTTATAATTTTGCATTTTTGGCCAACATTAATTGACTATAACTCGAAAAGTAGCAATATCTGGCTTTAATAAGATACCAATTTAGAAAGATGGAGGTTTGAACTATTTAATAAAGGTCAAATTAATAGGCTAGATCTTAATTCAGGTACTTCGCAGCAATTATGAACTTTTATAGAATGATTTCCCCTATTTTTTCATACTAAATCTGTCACTACTCCGTTTGGTAAACATTTTTCAAATAGTATGATATACTAGAATAAAGGTATTATTATATGCTTTTAAGAAAAGAAAACCATTTTTCATTTGATTGAGGAGTTTTTGTGCAAATGGAGTTTGAATAAAGCATCTCAAAAAACTGACAATTCGCCCATACCCAACTTTGAGGACCTGCTACTCGGCACCAGGTCGACGAAAAAACTTGAAACTTAGGGAATCATCTCGTATTGATGTCAGCTTTCAAATGAAATATCTCGGAAAAGTGCCTCATTTCCTTAATTTTTAAAATTAGACAGCTGTGATGCTTTAAGCTAATTTGATGGATTTGACATTTCATTAATATTCCTACAGTGATAGAATCAGAACAGTCGTAAATGTCTTGGGCGATTCCTTTGGTGCAGCCATCGTTGAGCATTACAGTAGAAAAGAATTGTCTAATTCAACGGCAACACAAACAATTGAAGTTCAGCCAAAATCTAATGGAAATTCAGTATATCCATTGACAGTCGATGATAATGAAAATAACTCAGCTAATTCTAAAGGAAGGATTAATTCATCATTTATGGACGAACGAGTGTAAATTGTATCAATAGAAGTATTTAAAGTTACCAGTGACATGCCTTTGTGATTTAAATTTCATATATTTATTTAATATCTTGCTGTACAAATGTCATAGAAAACAATCATGTTGATCGGAAAAAGCTCACGTATGCTGCAAAGTTTTTATTGAAAATATTTTTAAACAGTTAAAATAAATTTGAATTGATTTTTTGTATGGTTTTAGAAGAATTTGTAAGGTTTCAGATAAAACGGTACAAATGTTTTTATTATTCAAATCTTAAATAACGGTTATTTTATGCTTTTGAGAGTTCAAACCGTTAAATTAATTTTCTCAGATTAAAAGAATAGTTTAGTAATAAAAGTTTATTTATTTCCATTAATTTTAGTACTATATATTTCAATATTTCAAATAAAGTAAGACCAATTCATTCAAAGCTTTTCAGCAGCTGCGAGAACTTGTTATTCATGTCAACAAACTCATCGTTATCTGTTGATTCGTTCTTAATACAATCATTGTCGAGAGCTGTTTGTTTTACACTCTTATTGCTGCTTTTGGGTTTCTTGATTTTCTTCGGTACTTTTGGCACATTTTCATCAATAGATGAAATCTCTTTCGATAAATATGGCAGAGCTTTAAGACATGTGTTCAAAATCCTACTGAAAATTATGAAGAGTGCTGTTGAGTGCTTAAATAAGTGGTTCTTGATATAATCCATAGGATTTGTGCGAGATTTTAGGCTTATATACATATTGTATAAGAATAAACCGTTGAAATAATTTTCAATTTTGATATTCTCGTATGGATAATTAAGGATGGCATTAAGTGTATACATATTATAGACTATAGACTGTAATTCAGCATATGTATGCACAACTTTTCGGTTAAAATCTGCATGCCTTCTCGTGAATTTAGGGCTTATCATAAAATTTCCAATTAAATTCTCCATGCATAGCAAAGCTTCTTGTTTTGTGACACTCTTAATTATTGACTTTAGATCCATGTCTGCATAAATGTCGTCTGATGTCAGAATTTCCTTTTCTTTTAATTCTCTCAAGTGCTTTTCGTATTTTTTTTGGAAAATTGAAGTCTCACGATTTATTTTTTCACACTTTTTATCCAGAATTGTTAATGTAATTAAGGAAACTATAGCTGCACTAAGGTATACAGAATCAGCTGATGATGACCGTTTAATCCAATAAATTACAGCAAGGATATAAAGTTGATGTGGTTCTGGAATATCCTTCATAACTCTAATAATTTCTCCAGCATTTGAAAAACTGCGATTAAATATTTGCTCGATAAATTTGATATTTTTCTTTTGTGTGGGATCAAAATCAGTCACGACTGGAAAAACATCACTTTCAATTTTCTTTATTTCGTACCTCACTTGTTTAACGATTCTCGTGTAATAATAAAGACGTGGAACTCGAGGTGAGTGTAGGAGTGAATAAATAAGATTTAATATTGGATATGAAACAGCATTGCTATCGCTTCCATTAAAATCTTCGACCTGTGGATAATTTATGTATCGATGACTGCGAAATAAGTCTACAGGAAATCGTGGTGTCGATGCTGCTCGATATAGATTTACGAACCATTCTGGAAAGTTAAAGATTTTCTTTTGATAGACATCCTCAGCTACTGCTTCTTCCTCCTCACTTTCGACATTTTCTATAAAATCTTCATCCTCGCTGTTTTTAGCCTCAAAACCATCACCATGCTCGTCTGAATTTGCCTGCTCTTCTATATCTTCAATGTCTTCTGGTTCTGACTCATTACTGCTACATTCTTCAGGTTCTATATCCTCATTTTCTTCAGGCTCACTCTCATAATTCATAATTTCATCGATTGTCATGTCCAAAATGTTATTGTCTTCAAATTCTTCAATCTCATCTACAAAACCAAAATATTCATAGCTTTTTGAATGTTCCATTCTATATCCACTCATAGCAATTTTAATTTGATGCCAAAGCTTTGGACGCTGATATTGTTTAACACATTCAAGAATCTTCTTTACTGCTGAATGTAATGTTTCGTGCTGGAGCCAATTTAATAAGCTATGAATTCGTTTCTGTTGTGGAGATAAATTCTTCTTACTTTTTTGTCCTTTTCGCTTGCGAACATTTCTGTAAAACTTATTAAACCATCGTCGACTTATAAAATCATTTCCAAGCATTATAGCCAATAAAGGAAGCATATCGTTGTCCAAAAGTCCATCAGTTAAATTCTCAATTGTGTAAATTGAGCAGTCGAGGTAATTGTATTGAGTTTCTTCTACTGTCTCATCCTTATCATCTAATTCAATCGTGATTTTCTTATTTTTATGCTTGATATTCTTATGACCTTTCTGTTTTTTGGACATAATCTCCACTTCTATGGAATTACTTGCAACTGTCTTTTTGTAAACTTTTGGTGTAATTGTTACGGATGGAATATATTGCCCATCAAAGATGTAAAAGTCAGAGTCATAACTTAAAACTGGACAATTTAGCTTTCTTGCTAGGATAGCTGTGGATGAAATAATTGAATTTATGTTAATTAAACTCTATTATTGTTATGGCTAAAGTCAACTTACCCAATTCATTGTCAGCTTCGTAGAGACATCGATAAACTTTGACATTACAGTGCTTCAGTGCATTGACGAAAACTTCTCGCATCAACAGTGGAAGAACTAAATAGCTCTCAAGTGGAAGTATATACTTAATTACTCCAATTCTTGACCTTAATCTTTCTTTTGTAGTTTTCATTTTTTTCATCTCATAGCCTCCATCCAAAAGGACATAAGGTGTTACATTACATTTCTTAAGTAAATTAAAGAACTCGACAATATGACGGAAGAACTGATCGTAATTGCCACCAAATGCAGACTGTCCATTATCAATTTGTTTGTAAAGTTGAGCACACAAACTATCACCATCAATAACTAAGCTACAATCGTGTAATTCATGTGGATCTAAGTATTTACTTGCATTTTTAGCAATAAATGTTGTTAAACCACGAACTCCCATTCTTAAAACTTGATAATTAACGTAGAAATTCAATTATTTATTTTTTTCAATTCTGACCACATTTATTTGTTTATTTTTATTTCAGGGTATGCAACTACGTTAATAACTGTCAAAAATATTTGAATTTCTGAGGGGTACGAATTTTCAGATGTTTCTGAATAAACATGCCTTTAGTTGAGTTTTGTCCGACTGTTGATTTTAAAATTATGATAAATTTGAATTATTATTGAACGTTATATTTTTAAATTCGAAATTTGTTTTACATTTAATAATTCCTGATTCAATGATCTATGAAAAATGCGCAATAAATCTAGTGAATCAAAAATATATTTCAACAGAGCTTCTTATTAGAATATGAAAACAAAAAATGATATTTATTAATAACTTACTATTTTGCTTAATTTACTTAATCATTCAAGCGATTCAAGTAAATTCCTTAGAAATAAAGTCATATCTGAAGATGGAGATACTAAATTCAGGCTTTCACAGGCAAGTTTTCATTCATTCATTTGAGATTTTTTTCCTTTTTCCACTTCCACACCCATTTTGACTTAATTATCTTATTATTGCTCGTAGGGAAATCAAGTACAGTCTGAAATTTGCGCCAACAATGAGTTGTGATATAGTCCTTGTCCAGGAACTTCCAAGTTCCGTTTATATCGACAATGATCAGTTATTTAATTTAAATAAATTTAAAAAAATTAAGACATTCGTTCCATCGTACATTGATGTTGAGGCACCGACATCAAAATCATCATCATTTAAAGTCTTCATGTTTGAACAAATCAAGAAAAATGTAAACATCACGTTGCCAGTACATTTTCGTTATCATGATCCAAGTGATAAGAAGTTCAATCGTGTAGAAATAGAATCACCACAAATATTCTTCACGTCAGATTGTCAGGCACTAAATAAAAATGCACGAACAACATTACTGCCATGTAAAAATAGCTCAGAGATTACAGACTTTTTTGATCATACAGAACCCTTTTATTGTCATTGGACTGAGACTGAATTTCATAGCACACCCATCACTCTTAGTTTTCTAATTCCCGTCGGAAATTCAACATCGTATCCTTTCGTTCTACCTGTAACTTTATTTATAAGCTGGATTGCATGTTTCTTCCTCACATATGTTATCATTAAAAAGTCCAGGGAAATAAGCAAGAAGTTATTATAAAAAATTATTTAAATTTTGATTTAATAAACTTTAAATTAACGTTAAATCTTTTCTATATCGACATTCTCTTTTTCTTCTTACTTTTTTTTATCTACAATCATAACTTTACAGTCTTAAAAATAGTATCTTTAATAAATAACATTAATATTCCATAGCTGGATTCTCGACTCCTTCTATCGTGTCGTCTTGAAATTTTAATAAAAGATGTTAAGCTATGATACTAAAGAATAAATTTGTCAACTTACTTCTCTTCCTGTGAGCGTCTGGATCGTTCCATGGCTGAGTACTTGCTTTACCAAATATGATAAATTGCAAATTTCCAAAGAAGTAAACTCCAGCAGCGATGAAGAATATGATTCTCCATTGGAGTGGATCGCTCTATAGATTAACATAAACATTTTAGCATGATTAAATGGAATTTGAAGTCCATAAATAGAGTTTAGTCGAATTAGCATATCAAATTATTCTATCGCAATGTTTCATGAGCACTAAACACGATAGTTTGCTAAATAATTCATTTAAATAATATGTGCTTGATTAGGAACTTTAAAAAGTTAAAGTTGAATACTCAGTCATTAAAAACGTACGTAAAAGGCTACGTAAATACACGTACGCAATAAATTATACGTAAAATTACGTACGTAAAAAAGCTACGTAAAAATACGTACGTAAATGACAATCAAAAATTTAGACTTACAGCATCATTGAGAATAAATCCGACCAAAAGTGGAGCAATAATAGACATAACATTTGCACTGCAATTGGTAATTCCCATAAGTGTACCGGAATGATTTGGTGATAAATCAATGTGATTAATTTGAAATCCTAAATAAGTAGCTGCGTTAAAGCCAACAGCCAATGTGACTAGACCAACAGCCAGTGAACTTTGTGTTTGGGAAGTAATGTACGCTAGAGCGATTAAAGCTACGCCAGGAATCCAAAGTCCAATTGTGTTGAACAATTTTCTTGAAAATTCGACTTTTAAAATTCGTTTGTTTGTCAACCAGTCCGCAAATGGACTTAATATAAAGCTCATAATCATCATGACGAAATATGGAAGTGCTGATAATAATGCATTCTGTTTTATATTGAAATGCAATACGCTCTTCATGTATGATGGAATTTCTGTAAGCAAAGTCCAGAATCCCCAATTGTGAGCTGAATGAGCAATCACTAAACTTATTACAGCTGATGATGTGAAAATGTCTTTCCATGGAGTCTTGATGATCTGTTAATTAAATTAATAAGTCATAAATTAGCTAGAACATAAAATTTTAAAGTATTTACCTTAGCATCTCCAGTTGTGTTCAGTGATGTCTCAATAAAGTGCCTTTCTTCTGATGAAATTCTGTCTCGACTATCTGCAGGTGAACTTGATCCATAAAACATGAATAAAATTGCCCAAACTAGTCCAAAAACTCCAGATAAATAGAAGATTGATGGCCATCCCATAGCTGAAGAAGCTAAAACTCCAGAAACGGCCAACATCACAACGGTACCAAATTGTGCACCAGAATAGCAATAAGTTCCGATAGTTCCTCGTTCGCTAGGCGGTGCCTGAACAAAATTTAAAATTAATAAAATTAAGTGATAATCGTGATAATTAAATCAATAAAAAGATTGAGACTCTAATCAATTAACAAATGACCCAAAATATTAATGATTTAATTCAATCTTTGCATATATTTCAACTGATGATAAATTACCCATTTAGCAAGTAAAGTGTGAGTCGATGGGAAAATACATCCTTGACAAAGTCCCTGCACGACTCGAAGTGCCACGACTGCTTTCCATCCAAAAGCAGCAAATATGGGAGTTAATAAGCATAAAAGTGAGCATAATGTGATGGACACGAGCAGCATAATTTTTCCTCCGAAATGCTTTGCCATTTGACCTCCTGGAATTTGTGTGATTACATATCCCCAAAAGAAGGAACTGAGGACCATTGATTTCTGCTTTTCGTCCCATTCATATTCTGGAAAATCGGGATTTGTTGAATTTCTGTCGGTAATAGCTACGATGGCAACAGACATATTTACGCGTTGTGCGTACGCGATTGTCAAGCATGTGAAAATGAGTAAAACCTGTACATGACGAAATCCAAAGCCGTCTAAAATGATACAATGAAATTGATATAAAGAATTAATTCATTTCTGCCAACGTATACAGTTATCAGCAAATAAATGCACAAAACGTAAATTATTGGTTTTAAAACTATAAACATATGGGACTACAAATAATGCAATAATTCTTTAGACCTCCTGTTCCTTCATATCGCCTATTCCGGATACGAATAGATCCGTAATCCATTTTGGAATAATTTAAGTAACTTTAACAAATTTTAAATCCATAAAATATATTAGACTAAGAACTAATAATCACAAAAAATTGTAAAATGATCTACGTAGCAAATACAGTTCGAATGTACAGCTGACAATGACTGAGTATAACTACATATTCTGCTCACCGATTTGTTTTGTTTGAGTATTTTTTCGACTCTCATTATGACACATTTCTCTCCTCTCTGCAGTCAGGCTTGCAACGAATGAGAGATGAAAATGAAATCGTTGATAATCATGCTTAACAGCTGTAAAAGCTTCATATATGATGAAGTCATATTGTGGGAATCGACAAAAATGAATGCAATTTTTATCATTTGCGTACGAAACAATGTTAATGACTTTATCATATATTTTTTGATGTGATTTGCTTGTTGAAAGGAATGTCTAAGCACTCAAAAGCTTAAATAAAGTGATTGCGATGGGAATCTAAGTTTTATATTTACAAACATTTTTCTACTTCAGATAATTTAAGCAAATATTCACTATTAGTAGCTCCTTTCAAGGAAGTAATGCTGTATTTATTAGACAAACTATGATTGGGTTGCTATTATACTGGAATTAACAACGTTTGGACTTGTTTTGCCATTATTTTTCAAGATACCTATTTTTTTTCCGATTGTTTTGACGGCAAATTACCATCATCACCTTATTTAATTAACGAAACTTAAACTTTGTTTTGTTTGTTCTTGTTCAGGAGTGAAATTTAAGCTTTACCTATTAATTTAACACTATTTTAATAAAATTAAAAATTATTCACAGGAAAATGCTGCTGCCAAACAAGAGATTTCGGTTAAAAGATCACAAAATTTGAAAAAGCTACTATTGATGCAAAAAAACTACAGAAAAATCATTGACACTGAATTAGACGAGTTTAATTTGAATTTTAATAATCCGTTATATTTTGATTAAATTCTTTTCAGCAACAAAACGCTACAAAATGACTTAAATGCTTGAAATTCCACGAACAGTTGTCATTTTCTAGAAGGAGCATATTTATGGTGTTGTTTATATTGAGTTTACGTCATGAATAGTGTGAGAAAATGAAGTTTATTGGGAAATGCTTTTGAAAACCCTCCAAATTTTCAGAACCACCCAAATGTTTTAAATTTTAGAACGTTACAAATTCATTTGAATTTAAAATAGACGTTAAATTATTATCTTTTTAAGCTTATTAATTTTGATTTTTTGTAAAGCATTTCTTTCATTGATCAACAATTTTTCACAGATTAATTAGCACATTTTATTTAAAAATATGTAAGCCTAATTTAAATGCTTCTAGAATGTTTTACAAAATAATTTATTCCTCATCATCATCATCGCGAGACTTGAAGGAGCCGAAAAACGAAACTTTCGCACCTTATTCAAATAAGTATTCACCAATCATGTAGCAATGTGTCAATATCAAATTTCTAATCAATTTGTCAACATTGTCAGAGAAACTTGAGAAACTCGTAAATTTTTGTGTGTGACATTTTGATGAGTTTTGAAGAAGTCGATTAACAGTTCATTAAATTATAATATGAAAAAAATTCTCAAATTAACTGTCATAGTTGTAAAAAGTAATTATAATGGACGGAAATGAATAAAATAATAAAAATAGTTTTTTTTCTATGACGATAACCGCATAGTGCTAAATTAAAAAAAATGTAAGTCACAATAAAACTGCACAATTTTAATAAACATTATTAAGTTTTATGGAATCAATTTGAGATGCACATGTTTCACTTTTTGTCATCTTTGATATGATTTTTAAATTGGAACTTGTTTTAACGCGCTATAATTAACACTTACATTGAAGTTTTTGCTCGTCGTCAATTTTCTTTGATTTTTCGCTTTCTGCATTATTTTCTGCACTGGATTTCTCTTCTTTTCCCATAATTCCCATGATTGTACTTTTTTTTTCTTATCTCTCAGATTTCACTTTCGATTTTTTTTAAAAAAATCTTAATTTTTTTTGGCACTTAAAAAATGTTTTTTAATTTTATTAAAATGATTTTTTAAGAATTTTTTTCAGAAATTCAAAAAGAATTTTTCAATATTTTTCCGTATCGCTTATTTCGCACAACATCACTATTTAAATTATAAACAAAAACTAACAATTAGTTGTGAGTAAACGGCTGCTTTTATATGGATGTTCACATTTCGTACTATGGAGGTTTGTTGCTACTACATCGGCTAGCTCTATTCTCTCTATTTTTTTATTATCATAAAATCATCATGAGCTGATTCAGCGATTTTGTTTAAAAAAAGATTATTGAATTTTAAATATTTTAAAATTTTTGTATTTTTCAAATTTATTTGAACTTTGCAAAACCCTTATAAATTACAAAAATATTCAAAGCTCGATTTCGATAGGGTTCGAGCCAACTCAAGTCAATTTGCCTCGACTTCGAGCTCTGAAAATATTTTTAAAATTTAAAAACTTTTAATTTTTCTCTTTTCATCGACAGAGGCGTAGCCAAAGAAGACCCACTTGAGATTGAAATTTTATACAAATTTTTTTAAAAAATCTTTTTTAAATGGCAGTTAATTAATAAAAGCAAATTAGTTCAAAACATGAACAATAAAATTCGCTTTTAATAATCGAAGAAAGAAGGTATTTTTTTTGGGACTCCCCCCCCCCCCACCCCCCATCTGAAAAATCCTGGCTTCGTCCATAAGGGAATAAAGTTGACATCAAAATACCCCAACTTATGTTTCTGGGTCGATTTCTAGAACATTGTGCCATCAGTAGCCCAGATGAAATTTTTTAAATATTTAAGCAGGCCCATGACGGGCTAGTTCAGCTCATCTAGTTAAATTTAACTCTCCCATTCGACGATACTCATCCATGTTAAATACATTATTGCCTCACATGTCGTTCATGCACTTTTTCCACTTGAAGACTTTAGATTTTTTTTTTCTCAATAGATATTTTATTGATAGTGTCTATTTGCTCATTGATTTAATTGGAAGAGAAATAGATAAGTATAGCAATGATAAGATCTTGAACTGAATTTCTCAATATTAAGGTATTAAGATTGTGATAAGACGTAAAAGTAATTGATTAATTGGATCACTGTCAACATTAAAAGAAACGCCATGAAAAAAATTCCATAAACACCGCAATTTAATGTTGTGAAAATAATAAATGAAAAAATTAAGTTATTTTTTTTGTCTCTCTAAACACATGAATTTTGTTGTCCTACAAATATGTTTGTTTGTTTTTCTGTAATGCACATGAAGTTTCGAAGTTCAATCATGTCATTATTGTATGCTCTTAAATTCAAATATTTGGACTCAAATTACGATTTTATTGGAAATTTATTATTTGCTCTTGTTCGATGTTGTTTTGATTTTTAATCTGTAAATTTTATAATTTTGTAGATAATTGCAGTTGAGCTTTACTTAATTAAAATTAGATTTTGAAAGATCTCAAAAATGAAATTATCAACGGAATTTTTAAATATTAAAATTTGACGGACTTGAAGAATTCAAATTTCACGTTTAGGAATTTTTCGAGAGGAACTTTTGAAATTTAAATTTTCGTTAAAATTTTCACTCTTTTTAAAAATTCAAAATCAATCATTTTTAAATTAATTTGATTTAACTTTACACTCAAGATAATCAAAATAATAAAGGAACTAGCTAAATACACCATCAAATGAAAATCATATAAATTCACATCATTAGTCAAGATGAAATTTAACTTAACTGTATTTAGCGAAAAAAAACTTGATGACACTGCTTACTGCAAAGAGGTTATCAGGAAAAAATTACACGACAAATGTCTGACGATCCTTGTTTAAAAATGAATTAAATTTTGTTTACAAATTACTGACAAACTTTAGAACAAGCTTTTTTTGATAACATTCCGATGAAAATGATTTCTATAATATTATCTCATGGAACAGCATGCGACACGTTTAGTAGACAGGACTGTGTCGGATAATTCTAAAACATATCAGTTTACGTAATGAAAATGAATAGCATTTCCGCGCTGATCTATTCAGCACATTCATTCATACATCTGCTGTAGGGGTTTATTTACTTGTGGCGTCATCCAATTAATTCGGGGCAATTTGAGATTTAAACAAAAGAAACTGGTTTGGTGACAATAGAAGGAAATCCAATCTTTCTAGGACGTCATTTGAGAAGAACCCCACAACCTGAATGCATTCGAGTTTAAATGAATGAATAGTCATAACCGTTCAATCAAAGAATTTCCAGGCCATAGATGGTATTGCCAATGATTTTAGATATTTACAACAAAATAAATTCAAAAAGACACAAAACATTTATGTGATGTATAATCAGGCACAATCGAATTGCATTTTATTGCGAAGATGCGCATCATTGCAACTTAAAAAATGCTAATTCCGTATATGATGCTGACCTTATGTTATGATTCGTGATGTCGTTGCTGTATGGGGATTTTTTTTCACTCTAAATTTAATTATTTGCTCACATTGATTTTATTTTTTGTCAATGAAATTAGAGAAGTAATTATGAGAAAAAATAGTAATAAAATCTGAAAGAAATTCCGTTATATCCAGCAAATGATCACAAAAGCTCGATTATTATGAATAATATATTCATATTGCGTCTCGATATTAAAGAGTGCATTAGTCTCAAAGACTTTTCTATAATTAATTTTACTTCAATTCTTTACTTGATCGAATTCAATGACATCGGCTTTCTTGCAATTTCCTGATGCCTCACATCAATTTTTTGCCTCTGGAATATTAATTAGCCATCACGTGCTCTTCAATACTTTTAGTTTCAATTTAATTTTGTTTTTGCTATTTTGATATTGATATAAAATTGTTTAGATTTAAAAGAATTTTTTCATTGAATAGTTTGCGATTGTGTGGTTGATTAATGGAACGTGTGAGAATTAAAATTGCAGAAAATGTAATATTGCATTCCAAATTCGCTTCATTATTGAGCTTGAAAGTGAAATGTGACGATTAAATTTTGTAATTCATTTAAATTGCAATTTTATGCTGAAATTCGTTATTTTTTCAAAACTTTTTTGAACATTTCTGCATCGTTTTTCGCATCTTTTCATAAATTTGTGAAGCTTTGATATTTAAACTCAAATTAAACATTATATTTTAATACTTAACTCATACTTTTGGATAGAAAATTTCATTGCTTAAAAATAATCATGCGAGAAAACCAAAAAGCTCAACATCCCAAGAAATATGTTCAAACTGTTAAAAATAACAAAGCTCTATTTTTAAACACTCAAATTAAACTTAACCAGAATTCACAACTTTTCATGTCAACTCAATTCCAAAAAAAATAATCTTTAAATCTGTAAAAATATTGATTTAAACTAATTTTTGACGTCAATTAGTATTGAACTTGACAATGTGAAATAAAAAATAAATAAATAAAGCACTTCTGCTTACAATAACAACAATTTTCTTTCTTTCTCTTTCTACGCTCTCCACACAACTTGATTTATCGGCTCGGTGAATTTATTACTGAAAGATAATGATCAAGTGCTAAATGGATGAAAATTTTAATTTGATTATTTCCATAATCGCGGGATTTGCAAAAATTTAAATCAAACACGTGGCGATCATTTTTTACTCAAATTTATTTTTATTTAAATCACAATCTAGCGCGAATTCACAATTTTTATTTCTATAACATTACATTAATTATTTTATTTATTTCCACATTCATATTTCTGTAAGTCATCGACGATGACATTTTTATAACACTTTAATTGATTTTTATTGCATACAATTAATAAGTTGTATAAACTTTCTCATAAATCTCTCTCTACACATATATTGTACAATTCAGAAAGAATGAAAAGCATTGACATAAAAAAATGAGGAGGAAAACACGTCAATACGCATTAAAAAGGCAATAGTAAATTATTAAATATATTAACGGGTAATTAACAACACTATAATAATTGAGTAAGTGACCACTAAACAGCTAATTTATGAAAACATTCATGTGATTAGTAAATTAATTTGTTTGATCCCAGATTTACTTCCAACAGACGTCATTTAACTTAATTTATAATTTCTCTTCCTCCTGTAATCGAGCAATGTCTCCTTTATTTATGTAGTAAAAACTAGCTGTACGTCCTTTTAGATCCTTCATAACTCTTTTAGCACCATTTTTGATAAGAATTCTACTTATAGCTTCAACATTGTTGATTCCCATTGAATAATGAAGAGAGGTTCTTTCCAACTGTAAAATTATTAAGATTTAATAAATGTTAAGAGACTAGATTTTAATATTTTAGCAAAAAACTACTTAATAGACTTAATTCTTACATTATCTCCAACTTTTAAAGTCTGTCTAAAATTGCTCGCAATATACTCAACCATTTCTTCGTTCTCAACTAAAACAGCAACATGCAAGCTGCATCGACCTATTAATTTAAATTTATTAATAATAAAACTGTAACAATTCTGTGACGACAATGGAGATCAATCTAAAGTGTGAATAAAAAAATCACAATTTGTTCTTACCATAATAATTTTTTGCACGAGCGAGTTTTGCTCCATCATTGTATTGGAGCGTCTCCTTGACTGTATCGAGATCGTCATGACGAATAGCGAAAAGCAATCTTTCACGATTTTCCTGCAATATTTGAAAGTGACCAATTACAGAATTGAATTTACTTTCCTAGAATGTCTCAATCTTACTTCAAATTCGCGTATTTGATCAAGGTAATTCGCTAATTCATGATGATTTCTTGCTTTAGCTACTTGTGCTATTGATGCACCATCATTATCAGTCACATCGACTATATGATCATAACCATCTAAAACCATAGCCACAATCGTCTCGTAGTCGCCTGTAATAAAGTTTGTAAATTATGTGGATTATAAATCAGATGTGTTGTAATTTTATTGCGGGTTCAAGTATTAATATTGAGTTTCAAGGTTAGAGGCTCGTTTACTAACGACGTACAACATTTTGGGAGAAGATTGTTGGGATTTAAAGCTCTTAATAATTGGTTCCTGAATCCATATCAAAGATTAAACTCACCTCTCGCTGCCAAACTCAAAATATATCGATCAATTTCTTTACAATTATCAGGTTGACTAGCTTGCAGCGAGACATCACGTGCCGTTCTATAGATTTCATCTCGATAAGTCAAGCTTACACCAGATTCTTCAATTAATTGAAATAAAGCATTTTTGCCATGTTGTCGTGCAGCTGCAAAGTGAAGCATGCTCTGTCCGTGTTCATCTACAATTATAAATTTCTTCTTAATAATTCCGTCGGTGTTTTTGATTAATTAAAGATAGGCTGGATGATAAGGTAACGTTAAGTAGGAGGTGTGGATTGGGTGATTTTCAGAGCAGTGGATCTCAAACATTTTGTACCGCGACTCAGTAAATTAATTTGGTTTGTCGGCGTATAGTTCGCTGTGTGTCATGGAGCATGGTTTGAGAAGCACTGGCCAAGGTTGAAAGTGTCTAAATATCCAAATGCACTGCACAGTTTTCAAAATTAATGCCTACCTCTTTCATCCATTCCAGGGGTGACATCATAATCATCAGAATGATCATCAATGAGATTCTCGACACTCTTTTCCTTGACAGGCATGACTTTTGCTGTTTTCGATGACAGCGGTTGAACATGATTCTGAATTACGACAGGTTTTGGTAGTTCCGGTTTTATTTCGATTTTTTCAATTTTTTCACTTTTCTTATTGGTCGTTGATGTTTTCTGTCTTCCATCAACCGCAAAAGTTTGGAGATAATTTGCTAGGAACCCAATTGGGTCGTTTGGTCTTAAATTTGCAACTTCAGTAAGGCCTTTGATTAATGGATCTCCAAGTGCTTGAATGGCATTTGATATTGTAAATTCAAGGAGATTTATGAATTCTTGTTCATACTTACATGTTGCAAGATATCGACCTTCTTCAGTTCTAAATAATGGGATTTCTACTGGCGCGTTACTTTTGAATTCTAAGTGTGTCAATTAACAATTAGCAAGCAATTATTTTTTTTGTCAAAAGACAGAGAGAAAGAGAGAATAGAAATAGAAAGTACATTCTACATTAATACATCTACTCATATCATTCAAGCTAGTCAGAACGAAATAAAAAATATAAAATGAGGAATTTTTCTTAAACAACTTTTCCTTCATCAATTTTTTTCACAGTCCACCGATTTTTCTTTTCCTTTTCAATGAGTTTGTTATATGAAAACTTTGTTGGCACAGTTTGGCTTTACACACACGCACACAAATATAAAAAAAAAATAAAAAAACGATACAACTAAAAATAATCATTGTTTATATCAAAAGTCTTACGTGAATAATTTCGAAACAATAAAGTTTGGAGTGTCAATCAAATCACGTCATGCTCCTTTCAGAAAAATAAATGTGCAAATTTAAAAAAATTTTGAGTTTTTTTTTCTCGCTTGTTATTTACTTCTTTTCATAGCCAAAGCTGTGCAATAAAGGTTTTTAATTGTTGGAAAGATTCTGTTCCTTTTTTGATAGAATTTAGCATTAAGCTTGGACAGATTAGTGACTAAAGCTGGTGTTAAGGTTGTGGGTAAAAGCTAATGTGAATTATTTTTAATTATTTTTTGAAGTACTTCTGATAAGTAAGTTGACAAATTTTACTTTTGGGCATCAAACAACTTGAAAACAGTCGGTAGGATGACAAACCGATCAAACTTCTTCCAGAATTTCGTTTTTAAGCTTATGAAACAAGAAGTCATTCAGTTATTACGTTTTGAATCAAAAGATCTTCCCCCCGATTTAAATTTTAAGTAGGAATTGTAAAAATTGGCATTTCTGAAAGTTCCTATTACTGGGGGTCCTCGATTTGAGTAGGTGTTTTGTTCCAAAAAAATCCTATTCAAATCGAATCTACTCAAATCGAGGACCCATAGTTTCCCAATTGTCATTAAAACGTAAGGTCTTTATCACATGAATAGGTAGATTTGATCAAAACCGACGAATTAGCAAGAACAAGATTCTGTGAAATATTAAGCAGTTTTATAGACACTTTTAACGATTCAATTATAATGTTCAAAAATATAGGTGTTGTCCACACCCTTTCCCTTATATTCATCCATTATATGGACATCTTAAACCAATAACAAATAGTTTGGGTACATGATATGTCTAAACTTCTCCCATACTCTATATGATACATACAGTACCGTTCAAAACAGTTTCCATGTTTGAAGAAAAATTTTCTTTTCAACATATTTATCAAGATGTATAGATGAGCTCATACAAAGTATACTTGACCATACTCGACCATACTATTTTTGTATACTAATACAAACAAAAAAAATTTTAAATTTAAAATTTTCAAGTTTTCATTTAAATACCGATAAATGCATAACTATTCGACTTTAGTCAGTTACTTTAATTAATAGTAAAGCATTTGCAATATTCCTGTACCAACAAAACATAACAGAAAGTTGAAAATTTTGTAAAACAAAAATTGAAAGTTTTCTTTCATAGTGTTAGTGTTTACAGAAAATTCAAAAGTTTGTCCCTTAAAAACAGTGATATTTTTGTATGAGCTCATCTATATATCTTGATATTTATTATAAACTATTACATTTTTCCAACATGTTATATATCGTTTTAAAGCTTATTTAATAAGCTATTTAAAAATGATAAGCAACTTTGGAAATTATTTAATTAAAGTAGATTTTTTGCTTAAAATATACACTGTCACATGGAAACACTTTTGAGCAAATAATTGTTTTTCCAAAATTTAAAGCAAATCAGAACTAATTGGTTAAAGTTTATTTATTATAGTAAAAAGCAATTGAAATATAAGATAAAAGCACATAAATTAAGTTGCTAGACATCGTTAAAATATTTAAATAAGAATGTCAAATCACATGATAAAATTTCATATAATTTTGCAAAAAATTTCTAATCTAAAGCCAAATGTTGTGATGTTTGCATCTATACAAATGTATTTTAGCTTAATAAAGCTGAAAAATAGTTTTTAATTGTAAATAAAAGCATTTGAAAGCAATTGATAACATTTCATGGAAACACTTAAATTTCTTTCCTTGCAAACACAAACATTCAAAAAATTTTATTACTTCCTCCACTTCAAATAACTGTAATCGCTTTTCTGATAGATTTTATGTTAACAAAGATAGCCATATATGATTTATGAAGTCATATTTACAATTTTGTTGGTCAATGACAGCCATATTCAAAAATTTTCACAAGCATTTACAAAAATTCAATTTTTTTACGTAAAAATCGACTTAAGACAACGCAAAATGATTAAAATTATTTAAAAATCCAATTCATATTAATAAATATTCATATTTGACTATCTTAAGTCGATATTTAGGTAAAAAAATTGAATTTTTGTAAATGCTTGTGAAAATTTTTGAATATGGCTGTCATTGACCAACAAAATTGTAAATATGACTTCATAAATCATATATGGCTATCTTTGTTAACATAAAATCTATCAGAAAAGCGATTACAGTTATTTGAAGTGGAGGAAGTAATAAAATTTTTTGAATGTTTGTGTTTGCAAGGAAAGAAATTTAAGTGTTTCCATGAAATGTTATCAATTGCTTTCAAATGCTTTTATTTACAATTAAAAACTATTTTTCAGCTTTATTAAGCTAAAATACATTTGTTTAGATGCAAACATCACAAAATTTGGCTTTAATTTAGTAATTTTTTGCAAAATTAAATGAAAATTTATCATGTGATTTGACATTCTTATTTAAATATTTTAACGATGTCTAGCAACTTAATTTATGTGCTTTTATCTAATATTTTACTTGCTTTTTACTATAATAAATAAACTTTACCAATTAGTTCTGATTTGCTTTAAATTTTGGAAAAACAATTATTTGCTCAAAAGTGTTTCCATGTGACAGTGTATATTTTAAGCAAAAAATCTACTTTAATTAAATAATTTCCAAAGTTGCTTATCATTTTTAAATAGCTTATTAAACAAGCTTTAAAACGATATATAACATGTTGGGAAAATGTAATAATTTATAATAAATATGTTGAAAAGAAAATTTTTCTTCAAACATGGAAACAGTTTTGAACGGTACTGTATATGATACATACTCTATATGATAAAGAACATTCTTAAAGGGACTGTATCATCCTCACTGAGCTCTGTGAACAATCAAGTCTGTAATTCAAAAAAAAAACTAGTGTTGAAAAAATGAAAATTTAATTGTAAAACGAATGCAAAAGATATCAATAATCCTTAACCTGTCCAAGCATAGAAAGTTAAATGAATGTAATTTTAATAAAGTAGTTTAAGAAAAACTTATGGATTAATGGAATAAAAGTTCTAAGCATAGAAAGCATAGCAAGATGTTAATAAAAAAATGAAAGCAAATGGTAGAGAGAAATATTAAGCATAAAATAAACATTTATAAATTATTACTAACCCGGCGTTTACTCTCGATAACTATGTCCCATTATACAAAAAGCTTTCTATAAAAATCTTTCCAACATTGGTTAAATAGGTGTGAAGCTTTGAGCATATTTTTTTTCATAAATTGAAAAAATAAGACAATATGTACATGTATGATTAAGTCTAGGTAATTTAGTTCTATACACAAATTATTTTACTGGCTATTATTACTCGTTGATATTTGCTAAGCTATTTTTCTTTTTGCGAAATATTTTCAGCAGCGTTTCAGCGATGTGCATTGAATTAGACATTGATAGATCTTTCTCTAATTGAAGTATGTTTGAGATAGCACTACAGAATTCTTGAAGCAATTTCCATTCTGTTGTGTTCATGCATTGTGTGTTTGATACTAAGATAGAGTCAAAGTTTGTTCGTGTTTTCATGTGTAGGCCTCGAATGAGGCATAATTGACGTAAGTTCTCCATATCTTTACATAATTGTGGCAGTTCAAGTGTCACTGTTAAGCGTAATGAAGTTCCCAGGTACGATGGACGAGATGATAAATATCCAAGAAAATAACTATGACGAAAACTTAAAGCATTCTCTAGAAATAGCAAAGCACGTCCAATTTTGCTGTATGCCATTCCAATATCTGCAACTTGATTTACTGGTGTGCAACACATGATTCGCAAATGTTCTTGTACATTAATCCACGCTACTAACGTTCTGCTTGCACTTACGTAGACTCCACGACCATAAGGATAATATGGACCATTAATAGCTTGAGATTCAGGCATTTGTTGATGATCTAAATGATTTAATAAAGGAATCAGCAGACCATTTGTTGCTAAAATTGTGCGAATTTCTGATGGATTTTCCAGCACTTCATTCATTGTATAATATTGTCCCAGTCCATCCTCATTTATTGCTGCTGCAAATTCCTTGCTCAACAACTTTCCAGTCATTATTCTCTCAGATTGCTCAATTTTTCCAATTGTCAAATTAAGCGGTAACTCATAGTCCTCTAAATTCCTGCAGCATTCAATAACTCCACCTGTCACCCATTTCGAATGTGAATCTAAGTTCCATGGAATATCTTGTGGTTCATTTCTTTCCATTCTAATTGGACTATGAATTACATCTTCTGTGTCCAATGCGTATGGTGGAAAATATTCCATTTTTGGATGTTCCTTAAGATTATCTTTCTGATTCATTCCATGAAGATCCTTAATTAAAGGTACAAAAAACTCTTGAAAAACAACATAGACATCAAAATCAGGTGCCACAACTCCAGCATTTAAGTCTTCATCTACACTTCTTTCATTTGATGTCTTCTTCATCGCTGGCCAAATCACATCGAATAAGTTATGATCCAGTCGCGTTTGTCGATGTTTAATCTTATCGAAAATGGGTCGTTTGAGGAATTTTGCTAAATGTGACGTAACTGAGACCCGTAACGAGGACGCGCTTGTTGGAAAGGAACCGGTTTTATTACTTACAATAGTTTGATCGAAAACTGACGACCGTTTTTCATGGATTAGCCTATAGCATCGCTCTAATGTCGAAAGGACATCGGGATCATCGAGTCTCCTTCTTGCGCTATGGTAATCATCAGGAACTAAGGATTTATCATTGTTATTTCTTATTTCAATATTATCAATTTTTTTTCTTCTACTTTGGAACATTAAATTGAAACTTAACTAGTCATTATTAATTATTATTATTAGAGATTCAGCAAATTATATTAAAGATTAGGTAGTTGATGATATAATCATAACAAATCAATTTACATGTGATTAAATTTATTTTAACAACATGCTAGAAATGTCTGCAAGCAGGATTTTTTGGAGCGTTTTTCGCGTTTCTTTGGCACTTTATATTTTTTCTTTGCTATAAATATAAAATTTTGAATACTTCCAATTAATTTTTATTTCTAATGATACACAGAAAATTTCAAATTCAAAAAGAGATGTACCCCAAAGGAATGTAAAATTAAATTAATGGAATTTAAGAATAGAGACAGAAAAATCAAATCAATACGCGAAAAACGCATTATAGGAAGCTTATCATATAACAAAGTTTCATTGAATAAATAATAGAAAAATTAAAGGAAATTAGTAAAAAGTGCTTTGGTGTGGTGATTATAAGAAACAAAACAAATACCTTGATCGTTTAGCATTTCATCAGCTAGATCTTCAGCTGCTCCAAATGATTTGAGCAGCTCTTTGTGAGATAATATTTTATCAGACTCATCGTGATTCAAGTAGAATTCGGCTGTATTCCCGTACTGAAAGAAGAATTTAAGGTAATTATTAAGAGTCAAGTATTAATACTTTTATAATTGGTAATTTGAAGCTTGATGAAGGATCAGCCTTAATCATCTTCTATGCGTTACTAGCTAGATCATAAATCGATCTCATGTCTTCTATCTATCTACTATCATTCGTTAATGACTGATCTAGGTATTAAGCGTACATTACTTATATTCAACTTTGGAATCTAATCCAGACTAAATTCAGGAACAACTTTAATTCCTTTCTATTAATCAAAAACTCATTCCTGATATTGTTCATAAAAATCGTTCTATTAACCTCGAGCAAATTATAACAAATTTCCCACAATTATTCCAATACCAAACCCTTCAATAAGTTCAAGTATATCCTTCAGCAAATTAAAGTCACATTCTCAACAATACTTACATTGTCTACAGCCTTTGGATTTGCTCCTAATGTCACTAATAAATTATAGAAATGTCCATTGTCCTTGATTGTTGCTGCATAATGTAAAGCTGTTCGATTTTCATCGTCGGTTGCAGCAAGTGTCTCAGGAAATCGCGAGCCAAGATATCGAATTATAGCTGCGAATTTGAGAATTATTTCGAAATTGTATACAAATTATTATAAATTAATTATTTAAATCACTTTCGTTTTCCTCTTCTTCGTAATCAGACTCAGAAGTGTGTTGAGACATTTCAATAGCTTGTAAGCACTCGACTGACCAAATGGAAACTAAACACTGAAAACGACTCAATGCTATGTTCATTCCAAAAGTTTACTTATTTCTTTTTAAAAATCGATAATTGACCATGTAGATTCCTTGAAGACGAAACTTTAAAGTCTATAGGAAACACGCGTGATCGATATGTGCTACTTTTCAATACTAACATTAAATATCAATTTAAATGACTTTGATGATAGCCTTTTTCAAAACAGGACGCATGAGTAGGTAGGGACAAAGAAGAAGGAAACTAAAGCACGCAATTGACTTGGTATAAAATTTTAATCATGCAGTATCTACATATGGACTTTTCCATATCCTTCAAATATTTTTAAAATATTCAAATAGATAGTTACGGACCTGTATGTCCGAAAATTATAGCGACATGTAATGGCGTGGTTCCTAAAGATTGGATAATCAAAAATTATTTTAGATCAATAAAGTAGTTCAATGATTAAGAAGAAGTCTATAGACATACCATTTGGGGATATTTCATCTTTAGCTGTCGAGAATTTTCTTCTGTCTAGAGCAGCCTGTAAATCTCGTAGGCTGCCTTCACGTGCTGCTGCATGTACTTTATGAATTTTTCCCTAGAATCATTGAATTAAAGATTCAGTAATTAGAGGTTGATGAATTTGGGCAATATTATGGAATGCATAGAAGACTGAGGATTATTTTGTCTTTAAATCTACGTTTGTCTTAATGTTCATTACTAGAAGGAACTAATCGTAATCGAACTTTTTGCTTTTATATCTATAAACTACATACGGCTACATACTTGAGCTTTTTATTTGTAAATTTCTAGAAACATTTGAGTTTAGATTGTGAGTTCCTCAAGTCAAAAAGAAAGCTTGTTCTTGTAATCGTCCCAATTAATTCTCAAAAAAGATTGTTTCTGATTCTAATGGTCTGATTCTTAACTTATGAAAATCGACTGTATTGTGTTTGGGATTGGGAATTGACAAGTGGTAGAGAACTTTAGAGGGATGCTGGGTTATAAGTCCAGAGATTATAATAATAATGCGTGAAAGGCTCAGCCTTTCAGCTGGAGGCACTGCGATTCAAAGATTATAAGTCCAGAGATTATAAGTCCAGATACAAAAATCGTGCACAGAAAATTATAAGTCCAGAAAATCAAAGTCAATAAAGGTTTATAAGTCCAGATACAAATTGCACCTGGACTTAAAAACCTCAAGTCCAGGTACAAATACAGCTGGAATTACAAACTGCACGAGAGGTTTTTGAGTCCAGGTACATTTTATATCTGGACTTATAAACCTCACGTGTGGTTTATAATTCTAGAAAATTTATAAATTTTACTTATAAACTCCTAGTGCGATTATAAGTCCAGATACATTTTTCTGGACTTATAATCCTTGAAAATTATTTTTGAAACTATTTCAATTTATTCATTTAAAGCAATTCTACAAATGAACTTTTAAAAACTTGACACAAAGAATTCACTTTTCTCTGATTTTTTTTTCCTCTAAAGTACCTTATATATCCTTTTCAGCTTTTTTATTTCATTGAAATAATTGCAAATAACTTTTTAACAATATCTTTTATGCTTTAATTACGGAGAAATTTTTTGGAAAAAAATCGAATTTTCTTCAGCATCCGTAGAATTGAAAATTGAATGTCAAAGAAACTTTTTGTATGTATCATCATACGCATACTTAATTATAATAAATTAAACGTTTTATCTTCCAAATCATTATTGTTGCTTAGAGATTCACGGCGTTTCATTTTTCGAATTCTCTACTTTATATAAAGTTTGTTGGCCCGTTTGGGGTTTTTTATCGTTCTTTCTTTTTATGTGTTCATGCTGGGTGGACGTGATCTTTCACGAAGTAATATTTTTATTTCTTTTCCTTCCACCTTTTTGATTCATTTAAAAATTATTTTACTTTTAGAAAAATTGAATCGTAATTGTTTCAGTACAAAATATATAAATTCACGATACAATTATTTGTGTTTTTTTCGTCCACTCGACACATTGTTTAAATTGAATTTTAAGGAAGTTTTGGAAGATAAATCAATTTTTCTGATGTAAATTTACGTCTCCGAAAAACTTCAGCTTTTATTTTCCTAATACGTTTTAAAAAATTATTTTTTAAAATTAAAATTTTATTTTATATAACTTGGCAAGTCAGCTAAGCTTTGCTTAGCATATGGTTGAGATTTATAGCTTAACAAACATTCTATAGTGTTTTTGAAAAAAAAATTTATTAACCAAACTTTAATTTTATAAATTTTTATAAACAACATTCTAATCAAAGAAATTATTGGTAATTAAAGTAAAACTTGATTTTTTTAATATCATTTTCTCACGGATTTGGCTTAAACGTTGGTATATTACATTAGTTGCAATAAACTTATTCATTTTTCTGTTAATTGGGTGTCTTTCAAGACAATTTAAGTATGCAGAATCATAGAAGATGATAGAATGAACGGAATAATAACCATTTTGATCGAAACCCAACTAGTGTCATAAGAAAAAGCGAGATTGTTTGCCATGAAGTCAAAAAATGTCACCCATCTTGGAATTTTCAAAATAAGCTTTTATAATCCGTTGTCAACTATGCTTCCATCATAAATATATATTCTGCAAAAATTTTAAATTTTTCATCAACAATAATTTACTTTTATTATAAATGATGAAATTTGTCAAAAGTGTAGCTTGAAAGTTCAGAATTACAGTAATTTCGATCAAAAAATTTTGTAATTTTATAACGGATTTAATTATAGGAAAATTTAAGCTCTTGCATTGCTTTTTGACAAAAAATTGACGTTCGGAGAATCGATTTATCTCGATAATTAAGCTTTATTACTGGAGTTTGGAGCATTTACATTTCTAGACAGATCTTCATCTATCATTAAGTGTACATTTAATGCTGCAAAGATGAGGATTTGATATGAAATTTTTGATTACCCTGTTGAAACTTTTACAAAATTTTATTTTTGGTCACAAAGAAACGGGCCGAAGAATTGAAATATCTTAATAATTAGGACAATTCATGCTTGGACAAATATTTAAATAGATAGGAAATATAAAATTACATCAGATAAAATGAAAAGCTTCTAAGGTTAAGTGAAAAATTTCGACAAAAAATTCATTGGAAGTCAAAATTTTTGCAATTTACCCTACTGGAATAATTTTCAAGGATTAAAAGTCCAGAAAAATGTATCTGGACTTATAATCGCACTAGGAGTTTATAAGTGGGCCTCGACGTTTTTTTTAAGGATTTTTTGCCGTTAATAACGGAAAAAAATAATTTGAATTTTTCACTAACACTATCATACAAAACATCAAAAATTAAATTCTCAAAATTCTTAATTATTCAATCATTAATCCAAAATATTATGATATGAATAGGAAAAGTAGATTGTGCATTAGCTGTTTCGACTATTTTAAGAGCTTTTACATCATTATTGAGTGATATTTTCGTGACTTTTCAAATTTATTTTCGATTTTGTTTGTAAACAAACACATTACAACCGAAAAAATTCAAAAAAGTCAAAACCGTTAAAATTTTTTTAACTTAATTTTGTCCATTTGGGTATGTTAATGCAGCATTTTTAAATTTTTTATAAACTCAAAAAGAACAGAATTGAATTTCGGACCTTAAAAAATACATTTGGAGATATATCAATAAACAGTAATGAAGATATAGCAAAATTCCCAAAAATTATACGTGAGTGACGCTCAGTTAAAGTGATTTTTTCGAGTAACTGTAAACTTTCATGAAGTGAATTGTACAACAATAGATGGGGATTTTAATTCAATTTTCAAAAAAGTAACTCTTAAATTTGTCACTTTTAAGGATAAGGAAATAATCAAGAATAACAAAACGTCACTCACGTACAATTTTTTTGTGACGAGGCCCAAGTAAAATTTATAAATTTTCTAGAATTATAAACCACACGTGAGGTTATAAGTCCAGATATAAAATGGACCTGGACTCAAAAACCTCTCGTGTAGTTTATAATTCCAGCTATATTTGTACCTGGACATATGAACTGCATGTGAGGTTTTTAAGTCCAGGTGCAATTTGAATCTGGACTTATAAACCTGGGCCTCGACGATTTTTCTAGGATTATTGCTCAACGGAAAAATTAAATTTGAAATTCACAAACACTATCTTACAAAACATCAAAAATTAAATTCTCAAATATCTTAATTATTCAATCATTATTCCCAAATATTATGATATGATTACGAAAAGTAAATGATGCATTAGCTATTCTGCCTATTTTAAGAGCTTTAGCATCATTATTGAGTGATATTTTCATGATTTTTTAAATTTCATTTCAAGTTTTGTTTGTAAACACGTTTAAAACCGTTAAAATTTTTTTAACTTAATTTTGTTCATTTAAGTATGTTTCGGGGACAATTTATTACTTTTTTTGAAACCAAACAAAAGAGAATAAAATTTCTGATCAAAAAAAATACATTTGAAGATATATCAATGAAAACTGACAAAGTTATGGCAAAATTCCCAAAAATTATTCGTGAGTGACGCTTAGTTAAAGTGATTTTCCGACATAAATGCTTAACTTTAGCAAGTAAGTTGTATGTCAAAAGATAGAAATTTTTTTTTCCTACAAGATAAAATAACTTTGAAATTTGTCACTATTGTGGTTTCGGAGATATTTAAGATTTTTTCGTCGGGGCCCACCTTTATTGACTTTGATTTTCTGGACTTATAGTTTTTTGACTTATAACCCAGCATCCTATAGAGGCAGCTTCATAGCTCATAGAAGTAAGTAAGATTATAAGTAATTCAAATTTCTTAAAGAGTCAGACATCAATAGTCCAAAAATAAATATTAAAACCTCAGAAAATTGTTAAAATATTCAATCACTAATCGAAGAATGAATAAATTATGTTAGCTATGGAAATTAGTAAGCTTACGTAAGCAATAGTTCAAAAAATATCCTCAATCAAATTCCCAGAAGATTATAAATTAAGCACACATAAAATCACTCACCATATAAATTGGAACATTGTCAAGAAAAGCCTGAATATCAGGTTGAGTCGTTGTCTTTCCTATCAATTTATTTCCATCGCCATTTAATACTAATATTGCTAATTGCTCCATATCTCCTGAGTTTATAATTTTCTGGACATTATCCTAAATAGCAATGTTTGTTAAATAAAATGGAAATGAAACAAAAGTTTATGGATCAATTATTAAGAATGGTAATTATCACATGATATATAATTTATATGAGAGAATGGTCTCGTCTCTAATACTTTTTCTACATGCATATTTGTATATGATAAATAAAACTGTAATGCAATATAATATCGAGCAAGAAAAATATATATTAAAAAATTATTGGACATGCAAAGTCTATTATTCTGTGAATTATTATTGTTATAATATATAGAATATATATGTTTATGTAAGCAATTGTAAAGCCTTGATTTAATTTTTAAAAACTGTATAACTGTCCGTCATCAATTGACGGTTTAGTTAAGCTAACGAAAGCATGTATAGATAATAGAATAATTTATGTTTTCATATTTACTTCTTCATTGTATGGCTCATTGATTTCGCCGTTCTCCACATCGCGAGCTTTTTCGAATTCTCGTCCTTGAGACTCATTTTGCTTTTCGGGCTCTTCATGAACGATGCCTTCAAATGGTGGACTTGGACTTCCAATATCATTTTCATCAATTTCCTCATCATCATCTTCCTGTTCATTTCATTACCAGTTTTACAGTTTATTTTTCATATCAATTTTTTTTCATGTTTAAATTAAGACAGAAACAGGAAACAAGGGGGGAAAGGATTTGTATCATAGTTAATAGCTATGTCATATAAATGAGATAGAGGTTGATAGAATTCTTATCTCCTAAAAATTGATTAGTAATTCTGTGTTTGCAAGCGTGTATCATACATAAACTATAATTTTTTATGTGAGCTTTAAAAAAAATTCTAAACAAAAATAGTCATCACTAAGAAAAATCATAACAAGATTTTCATGGAAGCATTTCATATACCTCTTTTGCATCTTTCTCATTTGTGCTGTCTCCAGTCTCTCTGGTATTTTCAGCACTAGTTATTACATCATCGTCATCATCATGACTTTCAATTTTTTCAATTTCTTTATCATTTATCGATTCCTCATTTCCAACACTTTGTTGATCTTCTTCTACCTCTTCGGGAATGTTTTCTTGATTATTAATTATTAATATGTCGACATTATTATCGTCATTTGGATTGTCGTCTTGTAAATTCTCAAAATTTTCACCTGATTCATTTTCGTTATTATCATTGTTATTCGTGTCGGCCGATTGCATGCGACTATGAGACTCGATGCCATTAGTTTCATATGCTGAGTCATTATTATCATTATTGACGATCGTTTGTTCTTCATTATCGGAAGTGACTGACTCTACTTCTTCATTTTCTTTCTCAATTGGTTCTGTTTCATCATTTAAAGATTGTTCCTCAGTTTCCACGTTTTCTGGCAATTCTTCTCCATTTTGTAAAGGTTCCTGCTCAATTTCTAAAGGTTCAATTTCTTGATGTTCAGGAGCATCTGGCTCAATTTCTTTATTCTCAGACGCTTCTGGCTCAGTTGCTTGATTTTCAGAAGCTTCTGGCTCTAAATTTTCATTTTCAGCCAGTAAATCTTCATTCTCAAGTAATTCAGCCTCTAAATTCTCACTCTCTTGCTCCAAATTTTCATTTTGGTCACTTCCATCAATTTGCGGCTCAGCATCAGTCTCATTCACTTCAACAAATTCATTACTATCATTAGTATCTACTTCTTTATTTCCTTCTGATTTCTGAAAGATAAATTTTGAACTAAGTTGTCATGAACAAGAAATAGAACGATCAAAATTGGTGTAGGAAGTAGTTTATTTCTGATCTATGTTCTGAGAGTTTTATGATTCTGAGAGTATTTCTGTTCTATGCAAAAAATTAATTTTGTGATTTAAGCGGAATTTTTATATAAAACTAAAATAATTTGATTTGTATGCAGCATAGGGTGCTTAATAGAGTAAGAAATTTTGAATTTTGAATGTGCATGTAAATTGTTATCACATCTTGTTGTATCTCTAATTCTAGATTGCTTTAAAAATTAATTACTTTTTATTTTAAATTGCGTGATTAATATTTTTGAGTAAATGTGCGACAAAAAGCATTTTTATTACTCATTAGTGAATGTTTAAAGTAAAATATAAAGTAGTAAAACATTTTTATTTTTGATATCACGAAAGTCTAAGTTTAATAAATAGGAATGGAAGAGAAAAATAAATTTTTCCCAATGATTCATTCAAATTACAGTCAATTTATGTCATGATGAAACATTGCTTATACTTTTCTCATTAATTATTCTGATGAGGACACATGAAAACACTCATTATTGTTTAAGTAATAAGAAAAAAAAAATAGTTTTGGGAAATATTGATTGTACTTACGATATCTGAGTCATCTAGATCTTCAGGGTTCTCTCCTTCATCATCTGCATCTCCATTCATACCGTTTTCGATGCCATTCAAACCATGTTTGTCATCTGGCAATAAAGTTTCAGTCTCTGCTGTCTCGACGGTATGAACATCATCATCGTCATCATTCATCTCGTCTGTTCCATTTGATTTTGCTGAATTATTATTGAGGTCTTTTTTGCTGGGAATTAAAGTATTTTTTGTGAGTTGGTTATGCTTAAAAAATTAAGTTATCGTAGTTATTATGATAGTTTATAATAAGTTTTAAAGATTCAATGGATTCGATTTCAAAAAACTAGTTTTATAATTGAGATGTCACAAAGTGATCTAATTAAAATTTTAAACAATTCCATCAATAATACAACACCAACTGACACTATTCAGAATAATGACATCATCGACCTGAAAAGAAACTTACTTAAAAGTCTTTGGACGTTCATTTGTCATAAAATCTACTTTTTGAATATCTTCTTCATTATTTTCTTCATTATTCATATTGCTATCTGTTGTACTAAGTATTTCAAAAGCTGAACTTGACTGCTTCATGACATTTTCTGTGCTATTACTACTTAAATTAATTTCAGAACGTGAGAATTTAAGAGGTGGTTGATAAAATTTGGCAGGTAGATTATCCCATGAGAAGTGTGATGGAAATCCTTGTTCAGCTATTCGTGGTGCATCAGGAATGACAGTTAATAATCCTCGATCGATATCGTCGCTATTTTTTGCCTTTTTATAGAAGGCAGGCGTTCGTCCTTTCTGTTAATTGGAATTAACTTTTTCAATAAAAGAAATGTTGATAAATTAATGAATTTTTTACCCCATCAATAGCACTCTCATCAGCACCAGCCTGAACGAGTAGATTAAATGTCCTTTCATTATTTCTTACAGACGCTGCATAATGCAATGGAGTCTTTCCACTATTATCAACTTCCTGTACCGCATTTGGCCACATTTCAAGCAAATATTCAACAATTTTCGTGTGAGCAAGACCAGATGCTTTATGGAGTGGCGTCAATCCATTCGTATCTTTACATGAAAGCATTTGAGGAGGAACAGGTAGGGATGTTTTGCTTTGTAATAATTCAATATTATTTTCAACGACTGCTGAATGTATTGACTTGATAAGACCCATAAAATGTGGAACATATTCTAGAAATCTTTTAACTTTTATATTGCTTGCTACCTCACGTCTCAACTTCTGTCCGTGACCCTCTAACACAACTTTCATTAATTTATCTATGTCCTTATCGTGTATCCATATTCGAATGTTTGACGGCTTGATGACTAATGCTTTTATTTAATCGAAAGTGATGGAAGAAAAAGAATAGAAATTGAAATGGACAATGGAATTATCGATTTTATTTATTGCTTTTTGCCTATCATTATGAATATTTAATAAGAACATGCATGTAAGGTTGTTGCTGTGAAATAACATATTTCTGTAAAATTACCATTCGCTTTGCTCGCAATATTTTTTGTAAATTCAAAATGAATTTTACCAAAATCTTCATTATGTGGATAGACTGTAAATTAAGGGCAAAGAAGAGAGAAAAGCAATTGTCAATCATTAATAAAGAATTAATAGCTTTTCTTTAGTTCCTTTTAATTGCGATTAATTTGTCGTTTTCAGGGTTGTTAGTAAAGTATCTGTGACTTTAAAGCTATGAAAAAACTATAAAGTAAAATAGTTAAAAGTTTGTGAATTATAAGGTTATGGGCAACCCTTGTGGTAGGCAAACGGATCTTATTTTTAGAACAATTCGATTTAGTACTTTTTTAGTAGTCCTTATTTTTAGAACTTAATCCGTTATGAATTTTAGCCAATCAGAAAATTTTGTTAATTTTCAGCCAAAATCCTTGTGCCTTCTTACAGATTACTATTTAAAACATAAAATAGATACACATTCTTTGTTTTAAACTATTTATGGATTCAATATTTCATCTGGTTTTGATAAAATTTCGCGTTTTCTTTTTCAAATATTTTTCGTCAAAATGTAAACAAGCATGACGAAGGAAAAAATTATTTGAGAAATCTCAAAGTCTTGTGAATTAAGCTACTTAATGCTAATTTTTTGAATATCAAAATGTTTACTGACCCAAAAAGGCTATGAAATAAACTAAGTTCTATATTATTTAATAACAAAATGACTAAAAAACAACAAAACAAATTATGATCAAATAACGTTTTTCCTGAATTTGAATTTTACTGCCCGAAATGCTTAAAAATTCAAATTCAAATCTTTAAAGTTTCAACTGATTTTATAAGCTCTTTGCCGACCACAGGGGCAACCAACCCACGCACGAGGGATATGAATTAAATTTGGACCAATTTAGTTCATAATGACTTCAAATTTCGAAAAAAAAAACTCTACAGAATCAACTGTTGTTGTTCGCAAATCATTTATTCCACAAAAATCTTTATCAAAGCTTGATATCCCTTGATTTATCAAGCTCAATTTCAATTAGGGTGTACTTGTCAACGTCCTACACAAATCACAGTCTCATAAATGTTTTTGTCACGTGTGCTGCAGATTTGACAAACTTAACATCTAGCAACAAAATTAGTTCATTTAAAATTAGATTAACAATAGTCAGGCATATCAACTCTGCTAATGTCTTATAAGTTGTCACTTGAATTTGCTTTGCGTTCATTTTATTAATTCATTAATTAGTCTGATCATCAATTATTTTCCAGACATAAATATCTTATGGGAAATTACCATTATCTTCGGCACTCAAAGGCATTTTTTCTATGACTTTAAATCTTTAATCTCAATTTTATTATTTCACAATATTTGCTAAGACAATATATCCACTATTTGACTTTCTGTTAATCCTACTTGTTCTGTATTGAGCAAACGACTGAGGGAAACGATTTATTGAAACTAAATTTATTCGTTCAAATAGATACACAAAAACAGCACGATTGTCGATGTACATAGAAGAAATTATCCATTGGAAAATCGTTAATTATTAATGTCCCTCGGTGAAAAAGAACTCGTATGGCGTTTTAATCATGGTTATTTGATGTCTCACGACGAGAAAAAAGGACAAGCAAGCACTCGTTTGTGTTATTCATAATATATGAGGTTGATACATTGATACGAATGCTCTAAGGTATGTGCATGAATTTATTTCCAGTTTAATCACTTCCAGTATGACAGTCAATTAAATAAATTTCGTCATTACATCCTCATGATTTGCACAATAAGGAACAAATAGGTTCAATGTAAAGATAATTACAATAACAGTGTTAAAAGCTATAAATCGACCTTGGATCTTATAAATATTTGAAGTTTTCTATTTTATGGAATCAATGTACGTGAGAAAATACATTAGAGGCAAAAAGGGAAGTAATGTAAGTAACATAAAGACAAACACGCAATGGCTTTTATTTGACTTGTATTGCTGAGTACTAAGCGAGTAAATGAAGAAGCTTTTTGGTTCAAAGATTCACCCAAAAGCTGTTAGACGTTTCCTTTTTAACCACAACAAATAAAATAACTTAATAGGTGAATATATTTAACTTTTGACGAGGTATGCTCACATTTTGTGTTATTTTTTCTTCTTCTTCGGGATGTTCATATTTATGGAAAACTCGCGCTCAGCTTGAATCAATTGTTCAGTTGAGGTTTTGGAAACATCAAAATTGAACCTTTTAAGATAAAATTTAATTTTCAACAGTAATTTCATATTCAAAAAATAACGAAAGTGATGCAAAAAATTTAAAATTCTTTTAGTCGTTGACAGTTAACACGAGCCTTAGAGATCTTTCGAGAGCTCCAAAAAAAATCTATTTCTAGTTCATACGCACATTAAAAATACAAAACCACCATACATGAATTATTATTTAAGAAATCATTGCATGCTTCCCTATCCATCTGCATACACACATATTTTTACTATCTATCTATTCATCGACAATAATGCATAAAATTCATTTTCGATGTTTTATTTCATATCATGCCGACGTATGTAGATACTTGCTTAAGTGAGCATGAAAATCATACAAAAAACTATATTCCCATGCGTGCTGTCACTTATTGCCTTTTTTGTATACATATTCTTATTTAAGATGCACGCACATTCTTCCATTGATAAAGTGTATATATTTGACACCAATCGAGGGCGAAATTTAAGGAAATAGGTGATTGATTGTGAGATAGCATTTATTTATGTGTTCAAGAGCGTCTTCTATGATTAATTCAATTAAATATCAGAGGTTCACGATGCTTAAATTCTTTACCGTTTTTTTTATTATTCAAACCTTACAAATGTTTAAGTTTATTGAGGAATTGTATGGTTTTAGAAAAGATTCGTCGAATTTTCAAAACCACTCAAAAGAATTTTTGTTTTTAAAACCATTCAACAGTAAAATTGGAATTTGTGAGGTTCAAATGATGGTTTTAAACATATTCGGTTAATAACTTGCACCCCTGAATTAATAATTAAAAAAATTAAGTAAATAAGAAAATCGACGGCGACATGAAAGAGTGACAATAAGTAAATAGTAGAAATAGGTCATTTCATGTTCGTGTTCAATAGATAATTAAATTAATCGCAATTAAAGGATGAAAGTAGGAAAAGCTAATCAATATTAAGAAAAGGAGTAAATTTTACCTTTTGGTGCTGATGAGTGGAAGTAAAGTCCATGAGAATTATGTCCCACGTTTCTCTTTTTCCGATTCATATCGACAGTTTGGAATTACGTCGCAAAATTAACACTTATTAACCTTCAACAATTGTTTTTACCTTTTAGAATTGCACAAATTTGCATAATTTTTCATTTGCATATCGCCGATTAATGTTTGGTAGTGAAACTTAATTAAACATTTTACTATAAATTGAATTTAATCTCAAAATTCACATATTTTATTTAACTTAATGGGGTACGTACTTAGTATCCACTCACTTCTGTTTAACTTCTTTTTAATGGAAAACAAATTATGATTTTTCTATGTACATGCATTAAAATTGTTTGCACTGACCAACAACACTAGGCATGATTTTTTTTTTATATTGTATATTCACAAACTATATGTATTGCCTCTCATTTGTAGTAGCCATCGCTTTCAACAAAATATATATTACACTTCCTCCTTTTTTGCATATATTACAAAGTTTATTCACATTATAGCACTGAAAACGGTCGGCTCGTGATATACCTAATATAAACAATTTGTATCCTTTTCACATTGTATGTACTGTTATTATGTCCTAGCCAAGCTGTTTTTTTCCTTTTTAGTCTGATCCGTTCAATGTTCTTTTGCGATCTGATCAGAATGAATGAAATTTTCACTCACGAGTGAGGGCTTTCTTTATTTTTCTCTGTTTTCTTTTCCCTCCTTTCGTGTTTGATGTCTGAAAAGCTTTTCGAGTTTACATTCATGAAGTCGATTTAAACAAAAAATTGGAAATGTTGTCAATGTATTGGTCGAGCTGGGGTTTTAGCGCATTTTATGTAGCAGCACTAAGGATCAAAATGCCTTTTCTTATATCTGCATCTTTAAGTTCCAAAAATCAAAAGTTATTTACAATATTGACTTCTTTGATGCTTAAAGTCTATGAGATTACAGATCAATCTTATAGAGCATCTAGCTCTGGTGATGTGTTTAATCCAAAGTGCATTACTAAGCTACCCTCCTTCAAAAATGTCGTTAACAAATGTCTTTCTCAAACAAGAGCGAGAGAGACTGACAGAAAGCTTTCAATATTCAAATGTATTGTGCCGTATACTTAATGGAATAAATACTTTTTTTTTCTCCTCATAAATTATGAACACATAGTTCATTCATACATAGAACACGTAGTGTCCATTCACTATAGTCATGTAAAATTATTATTTTTTATTCACTTTATTGCACTGAGCAGGAAACATAGAATCTTGATCGATAGACTATTTGTTTTTACTTTGTAACGTGAACCACTACTTATCTGTTCGATGTCCTCATTTTCTTAGTCCGAAATGAAATTATCTTTCAAAATTGATTTTGGGGTGATTTAGTAAGTGCTCACTATTAATATATATTGACTGTTCTAGTTAAATCCAAGGATTTTTTAAGAATGCTAATGGATATTTTAGGCTCTTTAAATTTCCTAATTTACCATCCAATGAGCATCATTTAATTTTCATGTCTTCCTTTAATACACCAATTATTTTAGTCCATTTAAGTCAATTTAAGTAACAACTTTTAGTAACCTCACAGCTTGAACGCTATCAATTGAAATAATCGAAAAAAAAGCTTTTAACATTGTGGGAATGGCTGAATTGAATGCTTACGTATACACGGCTCAACAAGAACTGAAAATTGCAAGAGAGCCGAGAAAAATGGCATTAAGGAAGAGGGAAAAAATTGTTTTGTCATGACACTACATTTCCAATATATTATGGAGTTACTGATACCTACATCCAGGGTTGGTTCTAGTTGATTGTTACTTTTGGCTTGTCGATTAGTGTTGATGCTGAAACTGAGGCTAGATTTTGGTGCCACATTACAGTAAATGCGGCTTTGTTAGAGTTTTAATGGATCTTAAAGCAAATATTAAGCCTAAACTGATTAAATCTCTTCTTTCTCAAAAAAATCAATTGAAGTATGTCCATTTCTTATCTGATGTGTCAGTTTACTTAAAGTAATTACTATTTTGATAGCTTAATAGACGTGTAAACCAAAGAAGACATGAACATTCAAAATATCAGTCTATTTCCTGAACGTCCCTCCAAAAATCCCAACAACTCTGGTCACATGCTTCATATTTGTTTGTTATTGCCTGCTTGCATAACTAAATTGCTGTAACATGCGTGTACAATTTTTATGGAAATTGTCTCACCTGTATAGCTTATAAAATTGGTTGTGGAATGGAAAATAGATATCGAGTGATAACATTTTTATGATATTGATAAAAGTTTGCAAATAATGGCCTGCGAAATGTGATTTATAATGCTTAATAAGAAGATCCAGTTAAGGATTTTATTCTTTGTGAATAACAGCGTGAAAAGTGAGTTTTTTTGCATAACTTAGAGGCTTAACAACAAGAATTTATCAAAATGAGAAAAGTCACAGCATTTAAATCTTATTAGCGCACATATTTCCAAAAATATCATGATTCGTACGTGACTAAAGCATGTAGAAAAGTATAACGGATGAAAAAGATTTAAATTTCTATGGTTTGCGTAGTTTTACATCCTTGCAGGGGTTTGCAACTAAGTGGGAAAAATACGAGCGACTAAATTTTCATACAAAATTAATTGATAACGATTCTAGCAGGAAAATGGCATCTTTAACAGGAAGAATTGTACTCTCTGCTGCTCGCAGAAACATTCAATACACTCCAGTTCGTTTCTGCAAAAGTAAGTAGCCGTGAATCAATTTTTGGAGTGTCTCATAAAAATTTTTTGGGTAGTTGATTCGTTGCATAACACTTTTTATCATATAATCGGCTTGGAATCGCTCGATACACTTACTAATTATGATATTTCTGAAAATGGAGACGACTTAATTCTAATGGAATAGTGAAAAGTGCGAAAAATTAAAGAAAAGTGTGGACTTTTTAATCAATTTATTTTAACCTTTTTCATATTCTTAAGGATCCTTTTTTTTGGATTATTGATTTTTTAAAAACCTGTATTTTTCAGTGATGAATGATCCTCTTGAACATGCCACTGGTATCGAAAAGCGTGAATTGCTCGCCAAAGCTGCTGGAAATGAGAATCCCTTCGACATGAAAGTATTTAAGCGCGGTCCAGGCACTAAGGAAAGTCCAAACTTAATTCCATCAGCTTTCGATGCTCGCTTAGTCGGTTGTATATGTAAGTTCCTCATACTATTTATATATCCTGTCAAACCTGTTAATAGCCTTGAATGATTATCGTTAAAATTAACTTTCAGGCGAAGAAGAACAGACATACGTCAACTGGATGTGGCTTTATCAGGGACATCCAAAGAGATGCGAATGTGGACACTGGTTCAAATTAGTTGAAAAAGCTCCAGTCTAAATTCCTCACAACAGAAAGAAGCAACTACCTTCAAATTATATGATCCAATTTGAAAATATAATTAACTATAGTTTTTCGTGTTAAAGAAGAAAATGGAGTAATTCCCAACAAAAGATGAATGAAATGAAACTTAAAATGTGGAAAATTTAATTTCCCGATGAAGAAAATCAATTTTGAGGGAAAATAAAATTTATCAAAAATTTAGTCAAAAAAACTTGAAAAAAATTATTTGGACGACTTCTTACTTAGTGCTTTATAGTTGAGCATTGGCTTTTTGTGGTTTATTTATTAGTGCCAAATTTAAAGAGAAAGAAGACATACAATAGTTGTCACTTGAGACTGTTGGAAGTGAAATTAACGTAGCCAATTTTTACGTAACGTTGCACTTGTGGACGTTTGTCAACTGAAATAACACTAAACTAGCGAATTTTCAGCATATAAAAAATAAATTCATTTTGTTTATTGTCATGTACGAAGAAAATCTAATATCTAATACGAGATTCACTTGCTTATTATCTGTTAAAAATGCTATTGTAATACTTTCAATTAATTCCTTATTTTTGACACTTGAAGAAATACATTTTGAGGATTTGTTAGGAATGGATAGATGAGATGAGATGCTAGTTGTGGATTAAATAGGATATAAGGGAAGAACAAGTTTAACTTAATTAAATACGATTAATATAATAATAATAATTTTCAATTATCATGTGATGTGTCTTCGAGCTTCTTTAAAACTTTGTTGTACATCTCGCGAACGAGCGGCTCATTTGAGTTATTCGCTCGTTCCAGCTGCTCTCTGATTTCAAGTAACTGAAGTGATTTGATTATAGCTTCTGGCCGTTTATGTAATTGTGTCTCAGGCTGTGATTTTTCTTGTTCAAGCTCACGAATTTTTTGTTCCAAACTTCTCACATAATTAAGTGTTTGATCTGCTGTTGTCGTTCGGCTTTCTGAGGTTCCAGCTGATGGCCGTACATTGTATTCCTAAATTGTAGTCAAGAAAACTTTTTAAGTATGCAGCATACAAAAGTTTTTTGTTAAAAATAGTAACATAGAAGATTAGATAAAAGTCAACATAAAGTCACGATCTACTAATGGAAATGACTCAATGAGAAATTTCACAGGCTTGGTCATTCTTGCGACAAGTGTTGTACACGAGTCGTTTAATGCATGCGAAAGTTGGTCAACCATTGCAATTAAGATGGGTGTCATTGGAGGGTGACAATTAGTGGTTATTTGTAAACGACTTAAGGGTATCAGTACTTATTTTTCTTGAATGAAATTTTCACAGTTATGACTCATAAAATTTAATTACTTTTGTCTAATTTTACAGTGAATCAGACACCATAATCGTTAAATTAACATGGTAATCGTTAATATTCCAAATTAGCATTGCAAACTAAAAGCTGTTGAGCTCAACACAAAATCAATTCACGCATCAATACTTCGAAGACCATAAAAGTTTATAAGACGTGTAACAAACAACGACTTTATGCTTGATTGGTTCTTTTCAAATGGTAATTCTCAGAACTTATTGTACATGAACACACCCAAACTTCTTTTAACTGCAAAATAAAATTTATAATAATTAAATTCAGACTGAAATCTTACCGGGAGATATCGTGTGATGTGCTCATCGGAACTAGATCCATCACCATCATCTCTCATAAGTGTCGTAGTTGCTCCACAGCTGGCACATAACGTACTCATCCTTGATCGTTCCTCATCAAGATAAAGGCACAACTCTTTCAATTCTAAATTATCTCTTATAAGCTCCTGCTGCTTCTCGTCAAGCTGCCGAAGCTTATTTTGATATGATTGGACCTCTGATCGCATAACGGATGCTGTATATTTTCCAAAGCGATTCCATTCTCTCGCTAACTTTCGTCCTTTTTGTCGATCATCATCAAGGAAGCAGCAGAGATCACGTAATTCTTGATTGTCGTCTATTAAACGAGCGTTAGCTTCTTTTAAGGCACGTAATTCACCAATTAAGCTCTACAAATGGAGATGAAAGAAGAATAACAGCAATTAGACGTAATAAGCTTATGGTCTACAATTATAATTCTCAACCAGTTATTTAACATACAGACACAGAATTTCACTTTTCCTTTCTATTATTCCACACTCAAATCAACATTTTTTCCCACACCGAGATTGCATTTTATTATTTATTATAAAGTTCATTCATAAATGCGAAATGATGAATTGTGAAAATGTTATTTGTTCCTTTCACTGATCTTCGTGTCTGCTTTTCTTTTAAAAAGACTATTCCTCAACAGGTTCCCGACTTTTCACTTTGGAGCCAGAGAAGATGAGTGGAGAAACAAATAAGTATAAAAGAAAACTTCACGTATGTATGATCATGCAAAGAAATGGTAACGGCCAAAAGTTTTTGGAACTTTAAATTTATAACAGCTTTTGTAAATTTGAATTTATTTTGCATCTTTTTTGAAAAAATGACGCAAAAATTTGAATACTTTTTAACCGTTATAAATCTTCTTTTCAGAAAAACATTGCTTAACAGCAATTTAAGGAGTTAATTTCTTGCTTTATAGGCAAAAAACAGAATTGAAGGTCATTAAACACTTTATTTTGTTGATCACAGTGTTGTAGATTAGTGAAAGATTCAATAATTTCCCAGAATGCGAACAATAAAAATCTTTGAAAAATTCATTCATTCCTGACACTCACATCCCTAACGGCTATGCCTCACAAAGATAATGAGTATGCTGGATTGGTTAAAAAAATAGTAAATGAAATGTCAAAAAAGAAACTTTCACAAATAAGTGGGTCACAATGTGATCACATTTCTTATCAATAATTTTCCCTTTAATTGATTTTTTTGCACCTTTGTTCACATCCTTAAAATTATAAGCACTAATTAATTAATTTACCTGGATCTGAGCATTTGTTGATGTATGCGATGTCGCAGATGGCGGTGTATTTGTATTATTTGATTCTGTTTCTGATTTTCTAACTTGAAATTTAAGCATGTCTGTTCTAAGTCTGGAAGGATATTGTAAATGAGATTTTTGTGAATTTTCAGGCGCTGAAATAGCTGTTGACGTTGTAGATAATGCTGGCGATGCAAGTGGTGTTTGATGAGTTCCAGGCGATGTAATTAATGACGTCGCAGTTCCTGTTGAATATCTTCCTTGTATACGTCTTGGCAGATTATTACTATTTAACGGATTTGGTGGTGGATTGTATCTTGGTAGTGTCTGTTGAAAGTTGTTTAATGGCTTGTGTTTCGGGATATTTGATACTGGCTGTTGTTGTTAAATGAGAATTAAATTAAATGTTTTTTGAGACACTTTTTTTTATACAACTTACTGGTTTTGTAGCGGTTAAGATGATGTTTCCGGATAATTTCATTGGCCCATTACCCTGTGGCACTTTTTGCATTGTTAAAATGCAACTTTTCGTAAGAAATAAATTAATTTACGTTTACGCATCGAAAATAAAATAAAAATGAAACCTTTCATTAAGCGTTTAAGTAGCAACTTTAAACTTCAGCACATCCAATTCTCGATCATTGATCGTTCGTTGACATATTATCGAATTCAACTTGTACGAAACAAAACAAAAAGAACTGTCGACTTGATATTTTAACGGATATTTTCCTGTAAAGTAATTTCAACTCAAGTAAAAAATAATAAAAATTAAAATCACATATTTTACTGCTTCTTATATCCGTTCTGCTCTTTTATTATTTCGATTTATGCTTTCCATATTTCAGAACATAAGTTTTAAGTTGAAGAAAAAAAAAATTGTCACAAGAATTAATGAAGTAATGCATCAACATTCATACATTTATGGTAGATTAAATAAAACATTTTTATTATCCGCTTTCTCTCTTTCATATTTTGGTATAATGAAACTAGATAAAGTTAATCGATACACATTCCTTTCTACTTTTTAATACCGACAGAGATAAGAATTATTAACTTCTATGGCTTATCATTTCTTTTTGTAAGGGAAACTTTTATGTCAAACAAGTTTGATAGATTAAATAATTTATAGAAAATTACTAATAAGTAGAGACTAATAAACATGCTCACATGATAAGTAGTGCATTGCATTAAAAGCGTCAATATAAAATTGCATTCTTTACGTAAAATCATACGTAAGAAATAAAAACGTACGTATATTAATTTTACGTAAGCTATTACGTACGTAATTAAAAAATCTGTCAAATAATTTTAAAAAATCATAAATCTTCCATCTCTGTCAGTCAAGTGTTCTACATCAACATGATCAAAAAATCATCCTTACATTTAAGTTAAAAAACGATTAGAATGAAATTAATCTCAACCCTTAAAAAAACTATGTCATAATAATTAAATTTAAACATTTTTCGGTGCGTCCATAGCGCAAATGATTGCCTTAGTTACAGCTGCAGCTGAAAGTGAAGCATAATTTTGCCATTTCTTTGTTGTTGTACCGTCTTTATAGTCTGATATTCCAGCGACGAGAAGAAAGCTGTCCCGGCAATTACCAACAATGCTGTCAAAAACAGAATTTAATTCAACATCTGTTGCCAATAAGCCATATTTCTTTGAAAATTCAGTTCTCAATGTATCAGATTTAACTAAATCATAGCCGCTGCCGATAGGTCCTAAATGAAGCCTCATCGTTGGAATTTCACTAGCGTCTGTTGTGTCTTGTGGAAGAGGATGTTGAACTTCAATTACGTCACGATTTCCAATGTTCATATAAAGTTTGTCAGTGTTTGCAGCTGGTCTTGAATAGTCATTATCAATTTTCTCTCTTAAATGCACTAAACCTTCTTCATAATATGATTCCCAAGGTTTACCATTAACCTGTGCATGTAATGATTTTGCGATATCTTGAAGACATGGATTTACTGGATAATAAGTTTTCAATTCTTCTTCATTACTGTAAACATAGCAATATGGCTTTTCTTTAGTTTCACTGCTCATTAAACTGTGGTCTGATGGAATTGACGAAACAACCACATCACCAAGTCGTACATGCTTCTTATAATCTGTATAATGGGGAATTCCGCCAGCGACACCAACAATGAAAACAAAATCAACTTTCTGGAAAGTACCAAGTAATCTTGTGCATGTATTTCCAGCTGCAATCGATGCCTCACGTGAGCTTCCAACTGACGGCAATTTTGTGCTCACAATACGATGTGCTCCAATATTTCCAAGTGTATAAACATTCGATTCACCTAAAATAATCAATAATAAATTATCATTAGATTTTTTAATGTCAATAATTTGAGATTGTGCGTGACAAATTTGATTATTTGGACATTTTATGAGATTTGTATGGCTTTTGAGGATAAATTAGGCAACAAAAATGAGATCATCGATGATCAATAAAATGAAGATCTCAAATTTCATTTGCAAAACTTTCAGTCAATAAAAGATTCAGAAACGTGGCACCAATGCATTTAAATTATTCGAAACCACAGTCTCCAATAAATTGCACAGCATTTGAATAATTATTTATGGATTCATTCCCGAGCAGCACATTACGGAAATGTCATCGATTTCGGAATTGCTATATATTGTTTCGTAACTTTAAAGTGCTAGTCATTTTGACATGACAGTGAAATGTTTTTCATTGATAATTATGTGCAGCTAGGAGAACCCATTCTAAAATGCGCAAAAAAGTTGTAAATTTCATAACAAATGTCCAAATTTTCGATACAAAAATACATTTAAAATACATAAAACGTGAGTTTTTATTTCTGTGTATGACCAAGCACCAAAGTACAATGTGGGATGATTTAACTATGTCAATACTGCAAAAATATATGAAAGTCACAAAAATATTGCGAATGTATGATTGATGTCACAAAAAAGTTCTATGAGTATGAATGTCAAAACTATTATATCCAAAAAACACAAAAATAATTTTTTTTTGTGAATTTCCGTCCTTTATCACAAATAAGTACGTTAAACATTACGTGAGCTAAACACACAAGACTTTTGCAATTAAGAAGCGAAGCGTCATTGGCTTTCTTTTCGTTAGGTGCTTACCGAATCGTTTTTTCTTAGATCTACGTCTTTTGAGACCATTTATGTCTTTTTCTGGCGATGTTCCTAAATTTTTTATAGTATTTTATTTAGAAAAAGTTTTTTTGAGTCATTTTAAGTGTTGTCAGTTGTCACATATGCATTTTTTTGGTATCATAAAGTTTTATAGAATGAAAGGGTAAATTACAGAATAAAGACGAGGTCACTAGAGACCGACGGAAGCGCATTTTCCATGAATATAATAAAATTTTAAAAAAATAGTCCTGACTAATGCTAAATCTAGCATAGAAAGTGATTTATCAAAATGATCATGGATTAAACTTTCACAACAAAAGTTAAGCAATATGCAATAAAACGGATAGAAAGACAACAAACTCCTTTCCATTTTTCGAAAAATGCGCTTGAAAATGTTAATAAAAAATTATTGACTATTTTTCAGTTCTTATTTTCTTCAATTTCGTTGTTAATAGAAACATATGGAGATAATGTTTATTAGAGAATAAATTTCGTATGTTCTATTTTCAGTAACTTACCTACTGTCGTATATCGCACAAATGTTTCCTTATTTTCCAACATTGAATCAACGGCAATTTTCTCACAATATTGTGCTGTAATAATGGCAATCGTTGGCTGTTTATTTGATGCAATTGTTGGCATTTGTTTAACGACTTTTATTTCTTTATCTTCATGATGAATTCTTGTGAATGAATTGAATTCCATTGACTTGATGAGACCACGCTGTTGTAATGACAATAAAATTCTATAGACCTCATCTTCTGGCCAACCGTAGTCTCTGTAAGTACAAAATGAATTGAATTAAATTGAAATTGAATAAAAGAAGAAGCTTTTTACCTTGCAAGATCGTCTACGGCAACTGGGTTTGGATATGCTTGTTCAATAAGTTCAAGTACTTTTTCCGGTGTCAAGGGTATGATTTCAAACTCATCATTTTCAATTGAAACTGTAATAAATAAATAAAACAAAATTATGAATATTAATGTCACTCATCCTACTTCTCGTACACAGTCTTAAAATGATTTTTGTTTTTAGAAAAAGAAAAATTATTATCTGATTTATTATACAGTATGTGAAAACGACAAGTTCACGATAGGGGTTAATTGAGTTATTTTGATGAAATCAAATGAAATTATCATTTTTTTCTTTATTAAGAAAAAAAAGAAGCCACAAAGGAAAAGTTTTACATTGCAGTTAACTAAATTATCTTTCAGTTCCCTTTCAATTCCGTCAAAAAAAAAGTTCTTTCAAGCCAAAACATACACGCGATCAAAAACTTTATTATTTAAAATCAATAAAATTCTTTCTTTTTTTGCTAACCTCCAGAAAATTTATAGCTACAATTATTTTTAATAATAGCCTTGATGCTTCAAAAATATGTGAATGAAAAAGTTTTTCCCAAACGTCTTATAATTTTCATAATTGGTTCGCTTTTATCCACAGAATTTAACGGAAAATTTGAATTTGAGATGCAAAAACTTAAAAAAGACGCAAAACAGAATTTAACTGAATTTTTAATTTAATATTCTTTGCATCACTAGCGTAAAAGAAGCGAAAAATTCAAAATGTAAAAATCCGTTAAATGTTTGCTTCGTAAATTTTCTGTCAGACATCATTCTAGCCCACACCACTTTCTAGTTTCGTCCCATCAAGAAAGAAAAACTGCAGTTCTATTGTATTATTACGGAAATCGAATATTTTCATCAAACAAATCAATAAAGAGCAGCGGAAAAGTTTCCAATATCTTCCCATATAAATTTTCCCCCAACGACGAAACATAGACGTGCTCTAAATCGAAGCCAATCGATCACACGATGTGATATCAAAGGGGAAAAAAAAAAATTTGAAATTAAAATCGACGCTAATTGAAGTTTAAAAAGCATTTAATTAATTATTTCGTCATAATGTCTATTCATCACGAAACACTTGAGAGATCTGCATACAATGAAGGAACTGCGGTGTTTAAAGTCATTTCTCAAGTCATTGGCAACCTGTTGCACTTAATTAAACAATTTAAAAAAAAATTCCCATGGTTAACAATAAAAACAAAGAAATTAATGTACACAAAAAAGTAGTCAGAAAAACCACACAAAACAGACACAAAGGAATTGGTTATAGACACAAGAAAATGTCACTCAATTTATTTTATCCATTTCCATAATTTTTGTTTTTAAAAAATGGTCAAAGTGAATGTAAATAGATCGTTTCCTTTTGAGATTAAATGAGAAAGAACACAAAGTTTTATGATAAGCGTATTTTTGACTTATTGGATGTGATTGCAAGCGATGGGGTGTATATGAAATCTTTTTTTATATGAAATTCGCCTTAAAACTATCGTTAAGAGTTGGTTAGATCGCGGCTACAGACAGCAAAAGAACACAAGTGTTAACACGTATTATCCATTGAATTCCAACCAAATTTGCTTCATGACATAATCGCTACCTGCGCTTCCTGATAAGCCTCGACAATATTTACTATCAAAATCACCAAAGCAATAAATTAAATGACCGGGACGAGCTGTATATTCAGAAAATAGATTAGATATTACCATCACCATTAGAGATAATAAAATAAATGAGAAATTTTAACAGTTTTGTTTTATTATTATTTTTTTTTTCATCATAGATCAAATTTTTTTATGAATAGCTTTATGTACAAAAATAGAAGTAGGAAATTTTATTCATCAAATTCCCAATCACCATAAAAGAAGAAGTAAGGGAAGAATATAATTTCTGATTTATGAATGAATCATGTAGTATTTTTTAATTGTTTATAGATCATGTTTCATCCACAAATCTTACTCTTTTAATTCTTACGCTACTGACATTCGAAGAAGTAGCATTTTCCGTTTCCGGTTTATTTACATTCAATCTTTCATCATTTTGATACTCACGTGGACGTGATGGTGGTGCGGATGTTTGCTCAAGTATTCTCAGCTCAATTTCAACTGATTGAATTTCGTTGTAACCTTTCTGCATCAGCTTCATTATCTTTTTTATGAACCCAACATAATCTATATTTTTAAATATCATTTTTGAGGAAGAAAATAACAGATTATTATTTTTTTAAATTATCTAGAGATTAGACTATACGTTAAGTGCATTTTTGACTTATAAGATTGTGTGTGTATAGTCTTAAATGACAATTTTTTTCATAATGATCTCAAATTACGTTAGTATTTTGTCATAAGTTTATCTAATTACGTACGTATTTTCCTTACGTTTACGCAAAACGCATTACGTTTTATCAAATTACGGACGTAAGAACTTTGCAAACTTGAATTTTAAAATTAATTAAATGATAAAATCTTTAGCATTCACAGCCGCAAATTGCTTCATATTTCCAAATCTTTAAAAAAATGAATCCATAACTGAATATAAAGGAAACAATAAATAATCTTTCCCAGACGAGAAAAAAATGCACCCAAAAAAATTAAGTCATCACGATTTATTGCAGAAAGTTCCATTACCTCTTGGGAATTCTTTGGGTGAGACGAGTTCTCTGAAGAAATCTTGTGCAACTTGTGCCTTTAATTCGCCATCTTTAAGCCATTCTCTAAACCAAAAGCGAATTGTTCGTGATTCTTGTGTATGTTGCTCTGTTTTTGCGCTTACCAAGAAAACTCGGAATTCTAATGTTAAATGCGGTGCAACTTTTGCTGATTTTTGATCTGTAATTTTCGAAAATGGATTGCAATAAATCATAGAAATAATATCGGATATTGCCATAAATCTCTTACCTTTTACAATATCTTTATTAATAATAATTCCTTGATGATCTCCTCCAGCTACGTGAACTCTATCATCAACTTTTTCTACCAATTTCCTTTCAATTAAAATTACAGTGGAGTTTGATGTCTTTCCTTTCGGAGTCATAACGACTTGCTCATCGCTTGGCGGTACAGTTGTGTAGTAATTATTATTTTTGATATTATTTTGGTGATGATAATTGTCTATATTATTATTGTTGTTGTTATTGTTATTATTGTTGTTATATGTTGGAGAACTATTGTGCTCATTGTACGAAAGCTGATGTTGTTCTGATCCGTTTTGTATTTTATTTTTTGGCTTTGGTGGAGGAGCCGGTGGAGAACTTTGTGGTCTTGTTGTCGTATCCATGACAATGTTCTATATTTGCACTATAAAATAAAAAAAATACAATATAGAATTTGTTTTATTAATTCATTTTTCATATACACATAAGTTTTGTCTTACTTATACAAAGACATGACAATTGTATTGCCCGATTTTCATGCAAACTTTTTTCGTTTTGCTCATTTTATGAGTCTAGTTTTCAAAATAGTGGTTCGATGAAGATGAAAATAATTGTTTAAGGGGCATGCGATTAAGGAGGGTTAAGTAGGATTTTTGGTGAAATAAAATTTGTGTCATCGGACCGAAGCCCTCTCTAAGATTCAAAGATCAAATTAATACCTATATTAATAATATTTATATTAAATTAATTAAAATAATTAATATTAATATAAAAATAGTAGCTATTATTGATATATAAGCAGCAAACGTTTATCTTCGACTAATAAGTAAGGAACATCCTTAAGAACCAAAAAACACACCCCAACCAAAACATCCCGATCTAGAACCCATATTCCCAAAAAGAGTAATGACATTACATTGACAATATTTACTAAAGCAAAGAACAAATCAAATGTATATGTAAAACTATTTTTGATACCATTCAGTGCCATCATAAAATGATTTCGAAAACTTTTTCATTTCCCTTTGTGTGACGATAAACAAGCAGACAAGTCAAGCATTGATTTTCATTCCTTTTGAGACTGAAGAACTTTTCAATTACATTTGTTTGTAAGGTGTATAGTTTCCATTTAAATCTTCTTTAAATAGCCTCCGCGTCGTCTGTTGTATTATCGTTATTACATGTTGAAACGTAATACAATACAAAATAAAGTAATCTGTCTACGAAGAAGACAATAAAATATTTTTTGAGTATTCAGGCAGTTTGCTTTAGGGTCGTTGATGAAATAATGGTGATCATATTTAATTTTTGGGACCTAATTACATTTGTGGATGTCATAATAGATTGGCCTGGTATGAATTAATAGATGCTGTTTTAAACTTCTTTAAAATACTGCAGAAAGTCTCAAAATTAACGTTACTGACGTCATTTTTGAGCAACCCCACAGACTACCAAGAATTTTTCATCATGATTTTCATTTACGCCAAAACATTTTTCTTCCCGTGTACCTTATTTTCGCGAAAAAAATTGAGCAAGTGGATGAGCATATGTGAGATCATTAATGCATGTGGCCACAAAATTTTTTTGTTTTTCTTCTTCCTAGCATTACGGAATGGATAAATTTAGTCTACTGTAAAAATGTTAAAATTTCTTTACACGAGATACATAAAAAAATTCTTTATTATTATTAGATGCGAAGTTCATTCGTGATATTAAAGCATGTTGTAGGGATGAAGATTAATTTATTTCTGACCGTAATGATTACTATTGATCATTGAAAGGCGCTCCACAGTTTAGACTATTCGTTTATGATAGCGAAAATAATGGCGTGTGCATCAGAGGTGGGTATCTGAGCCTAGTGATATATTATTAATTATGTTACTGCTTCATGAGACCATCATAGAGTCAGTAAAAATTGTAAAATATTTCTATCTTTAGAAAACTAGTGACGTCTTTACTTTAAACATTCAATAAATATACTTGTGTCATTCTCTGACATTCATTGTACAACTTAAATGTTAGTGTCATCAGCTGTGCTGCCTGCTTCAATGAAAAAATAAAATTTTCAATGTGAAACAGTTTTCAATATTTTTTCATGTTTCTGGATGATCAAAGAGAAGAATTTTCATTTATTGCTTGTTCATTCATTTAAAGCACAGAAAAATATACACAAATTCTGTGAATTTCTCATATTTAGAATATGAGTGAAGATGGGTAAACAACATCTTGGCCCTTAATTTTATACGCGTATCCAATTAAATTTGACTTTTGAAACTATTTTTGATTTTTCTGTCAGATTTAGATTTAAAATCGAGTATAGGGAATTTATTTATAATGCTTGAAGTGCTTAGCCTTTTGAGCAAAAGAGACACGTTGTGTGCCACAGAACTCATAACTACACTTAGCACATGAACCGAGCTTTTAAACTAGAACTGATAAATGGAAAAAGAGCTTTTAAGACATGACTTGGTTTAAGAATGAACCCAGGAGCTTATATATGTGTATGTGACTAGGTAGCCGTCGCAAGCCCCTAGTGTAACCCTTCAATTTTAAAATTTTATTTCCAAAACCTGAATAGATACTAGAAAAAGTCTAGACTACAAAGGTTTTATTAAGAATTTACAAAAATTACTTGCATTTGCATGCCATAAACAGAAATCCACTTACACAACTATTAACATACATGATTTATTACACAAATTTTCACGAATTAATCATTAGCATCATTATCATTTCCCATTAATAATTCATAATTGATCGACATTCGAGAGCAACAAACAAACGTTTCACACTTAATCACAAGTGGCTGACGATTATTACAAGTTGATTTTCCAGCTCTGGAGAAAATTGGCGTGCAAATATTTACATAATCGTTTCATGCACGTTTTTTTAAAAGTAGAAATACTGTCGGTAGTAGTATACGAAATTATTTTACAACTAACATAAATAACTTCACCTGATACTACCTATATTGATGCAAATTTTACTCTAGGACAGCAATTTTAGGATGATCTTTAAGTTTACAAGAAAATCCGTTACACAAATTTGTCCAAAATATATTTTATGCTTAAAAAGATCGAGAAATTAAATGAAGAAAAAAAATGTGTTCGTCGAAATAAAAACATTTATTTTCAAACTAATGAGAAGTGCTAAAAGAAAAATCGTTGTTAGTAATAACAATCTGCGAGATTTTCATGTTGTGTGTGTTTATAACTTTATATTTTCTATCTGATCTCTTCTTTTCAGTCTCTCCAGTTGGGGTCTATATTTCATTTGCGATGCATTTTCTTCAACATTGATATTCTCCATAGAATCAGACAAAAATCAACATAATGGGATCGTTTATAAATAGCGTCTAGCTTTTTTTTTTGGATGGTCTGAAGCATTACCCAATCCCTAGGATTCGCTTTGCTTAGAATTTTAAGATTATTGTGCAGCGATGAATGTCTAAAATTTCAATTATTTTTTGGACTTAATTTGTGAACGATCCGTAATGAAATTCATGTCTGAAGAGTAGGAGGTTGAAGTTCTCATCCATAATACATTGAAACGCATGATCAATTGTATAATTTTTTATTTTATTCGCTTGTTAAATTCTCTAAAGAAAAGAGAAACAGCTTAAATAATCAAACAATGTTTTGTGTATATATACAACGACAGTCGGCAGTAGCTTCTTGTGACCTTATTACCCATAAAGTTTTTTGTTAATGACTCAAATAAAATAATATATAAATGAAAATGTCTACAGTATGCCTACACTATTGACTAAGAAGAGTTTTTCATGTTAAATAAATTTACAAATGAGCAAGAAAAAAGAAAAATTAATTTATGAAATAAGAGCACAGAATAGCTTCAATAAAATAGAAATAAAAAGAGAGTTTGCAAATAATTTTAAAGAATGGCAATTTTAAAATTCCTACACTGTAGGAATTTCATTAATAATTTTTTTAAAGAGCTGAGCTGAATGAACTAGCATAAAAACAAAAAGAGGGAGTCAACTCGTGACGTCAGATTCTCGATTGCACTGTGTTAATTTCATTTTATTGCTGCTTTATGATTTATTTTTATTTTTAATATTTTGTTATCTTTTCATAGAAATTATATTAATTTTTTTATTAAGGCACAAGAGATTGCATTGCGAATTTGAAATATGGAAAGCTTAAATGTTGGATATTATATTTATTTTGCACAATTGATAAGGAAGTGCCTCGATGTACAATAAAAGGCAGTAATACAATTTTATAAAAAGAAGTTATTTGATGATCGCATCAAAATGCCAATTTGAGTTCTGCTATTCATACTTTAAATTGGCATTTTGACGATCGTTTAATAAATTTTAATAAAAACATGTCAATTGCTGCACAAGATCACAAGACTGGAGATTTTAAAGTTATTGGAATACAAAGTTGATTCATAAATTTATATATTGAAAGGTCAATGCAGTTTAGAATAAATAGAAAGGCATACAAAATAATACATTATTCATCTACATGACCATCAATTCAGATAATCGACGGTGATTGTAAGCCATAACAAATAAACTGAATTAATTTCTTGACTTTTTGTTTTTGAAACTTGGAATCATCTTGAATGTTACATTCTTATAACTATGTAGAAAATTGACCACGGTAACATAAACATCATAAAAGTTTGAAGGTTAATGATCGGTAGCTTAGAAACAAAAATAATGACAAGGGTATCTTATGATTATTTTAATAGAAATGGACCCAAGTGGCTAAATAAGATTCTATAAATGAATAGAAATCAGCTCATCAAGACGATTTTGAAGTACCTATTTCAACTATGATTCTTTTAATTTAAAGGAACCTTAAACTCGACGCAGAACTTGAACATTACAATTGAGTTGACTTCTCTTTTTGGTTAAATTTATGATAAATACATGACCCGCCCAAATATGCATACAATCTAGGCCTATTTAAGATAACATTCGAAACTATGATATGAGTTAAACAGAGTTGACCTATTTAAAAAAATAAGCGATCTAGAAAATTTGACAGTCTAGTCTACGATCAGAGGTTGAATAAACACGATCATTAGAACACATCCACTTATCACGACACATATTTTCTAGTGCGATAAATTTTATTATCAGCGTCCACACCGCGTCTGTCAATAAAATCTAATTTAAAAGTCATTGAATGTATGCGGACTTTATAATTAAATTAAAATTCATCAAACTTGAATAGTAAACTCATAAAAATAGATAGAACTACATTGTGAAGGTTAAGAGATCACAGATAATACATTTATTCTGCGAATTTTATTATCAAAATATAAAACCGTATAATCTCAACAATAAACCTTATTAGATTACATCAAACTGCAATCAATTTAACAATGAAAATCGAACTCTGTACAGTTGAGCAAACAAGCGCTGAAAAAA